GATTTTTTTAGATTTCCAATTTTCAGCCAGTCGACTAATTTCTATCTTTTCTTACAGTATCGAATTAAAACACAAACAACTCAAAAGCGTGATCCACATAATTCAGCTGATCCTATAACAATCCAATGAAATATTAATCATCTCAGATTTACAAACTACAGAATTAAGTCTACTTTCTTTGTTTAAAATCTTATGACATTGAAAGTTGGATAAATATTCAACAAGTTTTTCTTTTATTAAACTAAGAAAGACGAAATTGTTGGCGTTTAAAATAATAAATGTAAAATAAATTAAATTGATGAAAGAAATAAACACTTTGTTGTATACATCTTCGTACATATCACTTAAGCTCACTGAATATATATATATATATACATATGCATTGAGTTCTCTTTAATAGTTTGGTGTACATTTTTCATTACTTCCTGTTTTACTACTACCAATGTTTTCTTTCAAAGAAAACAAAATAAACTTTTAATGTACAAGATAATTTTCAGACATTTAAACAGTAATACTTTAAATACAAAGGTTGATCAGTTATTGATGTGTTATAACTTGTGCCTTCGTGCCCTATTCATATATAATGTCATGATACCTCCAATTAGAGAATAGTGGTTTATAAACCGGACCAATGACACATAATACCCGTACGAGCAGTCTTGAGTCTTTATCGGTCCTTCTTCCTCCCTAGCCTTGTCTGTTGATTCCAGAATACCAATCTCAGCCTCTGCGATATGAATAATGTATTTCAAACATACTGCGTTTATAGGTGTCATTACCAAGGTTTGATTTGATAATTTCGAATAAATTGAGCATTGGGTTGATTGTTATAAATAAAAATAATATATTTGTAATATCCCAATGAGTAGAAAATTGGATTTTCTGACGTTTCGTGGCTTAGTGTAAGTCACTTCTTCAGAGAATAAATAACCAAATTAAAATTAATCCAAGTTTAAATAGTACAACGGAACAATGCAAGAATAATATTTGATCAATCAAAAAACAGGTCTGAACAAGTTGATGTCATGTCATTTCTGTCAAGGTGATTCATAAGTGATAAGTATGTAAATTTGTGTGTGTGTGTGTATATGTGCATTGTTTAAGAATGAAAACTTGTGTGACCTTTATGGTAAGAAAGGATAGAATTTAAATTTGTAATATGAAAGTGTGAAATTGTAAATACGATCAGACTGAATGGTTAGGATAGATGGTCCAAGTAGGGTGTATGGTAAGGCCTTCTTATATACAAACCAAGCAGACCATATCGTACCATAAAATAGAAAATAACATTTGTACAATATCTAGCCAAAAGTGACTGTGAATGTGGGGGATTGTAAATTTCCTGACTTTATCGTCCCCTATGAAATAGTGTTGGATCCTCAATTCCGTAAGTCACAATTAATGTGACTCTATTTAAAACGTATTTCCCGTATTGAATAGAGAATTTGTAGTGGCATTGGACAATAGCCACACAATCCACAAAGCTGTGAACACGAGACTACTCAGAAAATAGATATTCAATATTTAACGCGGAGAAATACCTAACAATGGAGAAGGCGCGAAGAATGAATTGAATGGTCTGGAGTTGATCGAGTGGCATGGCTCGGCCATGCAGGCGTGGTCTCTATTCATATTAAATATATTGTTCCTTCTCTAAACTAAGCTGGTTCTTCATCATGTATTGGTAATTGATACGATACAGTGAGTTGGCGTAGTCGATGGTGTGACTTCCACGTAAGATCTTAAAGATTAGGCAGTTATATCACGTCGGGCTCACCAATGTAGAATTATGGTCTACTATGATATTAGTACTGCTCTAATAATAGACCTAATCCTAAATTTGTAGATTCGTCATGATATAACTGCCTAATCTTTAAGATCTTACGTGGAAGTCACACCATCGACTACGCCAACTCACTGTATCGTATCAATTACCAATACATGATGAAGAACCAGCTTAGTTTAGAGAAGGAACAATATATTTAATATGAATAGAGACCACGCCTGCATGGCCGAGCCATGCCACTCGATCAACTCCAGACCATTCAATTCATTCTTCGCGCCTTCTCCATTGTTAGGTATTTCCCCGAGTTAAATATTGAATATCTATTTCCTGAGTAGTCTCGTGTTCACAGCTTTGTGGATTGTGTGGCTATTGTCCAATGCCACTACACAAGCACGTGTAGAGGCGGAGTAAGACAAATGCATCCAAAAACGCAGTGAAATTGTTAATATTCAATATAAAGGTTTTAATAAGCCAAATGTCTTCAGTCCTCCTGTAACATCTCTTATTGGCGATATTGTCGCGTTATATATTAACAAGAAACAAGGCCACAAGTTATGAGATTAAGAACTGTGTGACGCCTGCAGTACATACAACAGTTTTTCTTTGTAACGAGTCCAACGCAATAAATTACGTAACATTAGAATAAGTTTGATCTTGCCATTAAATTTATGTGCCTAATGTGACTGACGGTCATTGAGAATAAATTCTTATCATTGCTGAATGAACAGTCATTGGTTGGCAACAGGGTGGTGATATTTGTTTAGATATTAGTGTACATTAAAATTTGTAACTAAGTTTATTTCAGTTTCGACTGGGCGGTAGTTCATTTTTAACTAACCTCAATACTTGTTTCTGACTTAAATCTGCTGCAGCTTGAAAATTACAACATTTGGATTCTGTTCCATACCTAATGAATTTATCCTCGATCGTCGAGTATGAAGATAAAACTAACAGAGAGAACTAATGTTGCCGAACATGCGTAGAAGTGGAGGAGCATATTTGAAGTTAAAAAACCAAAGGATTGTACATTTACATATATGGGCCATCGTTATTTTCTTAATAATCCCCGTCTTACATTTTATTGCTATTTTTCAATATTTCGCTCGGATGACCATGATGAGCACTGTCAAAGATCTGGAAGCGCTTCCTGAACATAAACTGGGAGTGGAAGGGCTAACTGCACCACTATCAACAGAATTCGGTCGACACCAATACTACACCAGCATCTAGTTGGTCACAACACAGTGAGCAGTTAATTCTGAATGTATCGGTTCTACGAGTGATAGGTTGCGGACTGACTACCTTGGTGTTGACGACGCAGTTTCGAGCCCACTGGAGAACACGAATTCCCCTGAGATTCTATTTAAGTTCGCAGCAAAGATGCTACGAATATGCGGTGCCTAACAACTCCGTTGCCCGTAACACGTTTTAGTCAAGGGTCTCAGAGACAGACAGGCCAGGAATTAGGGATGAATGGTTTCGAATATATATTCAGGAGATGGACGATGCACTGGGAAATACGTAGGCTCACTATTTTCTATGACGAATAAGCAAATTGAGGAATACGATCGTGATCTGGTTCGGATACCAGATGAGGTACTTCGACTAGGGTGTATTCAGCAAAATTAATGAAGTCAGTGTCATAGTCAGTGCCATAGACTCACTGAATCATATTTTCTGGGATTTATTTTTGTTTCAAGATTTATCAGTTGATTGCCTCACTGGCGGTCAAATAAATATATGGATATATTATAATGTTTCGAATTATTTGAATTATAGCACGAACTAAGAGTCCCAGAAATAACGCAATTGAATTAAAAAGTAAGACACAAGCACAAGCGAATGTATTGTATTTGGAATTCGAAATCGAGCATTCAACAAGTACAAAGGTATTATTAGTTCGTTCAAACACCACATATATGCTAACTCAGTTATTACTACAGAGACGTCATTAAAAATGAGCACAAAAGCTAACACCTATTCATAGGTTCAAATATATATATATATCCACAATTAAAATGATATCGGAAAAATAACTCAAAGGAATCCCAAATATGGATACAAATTGTTAGTGTTTTATTGTCAGGGAACATGCTGTGTAACTCGAGCTAAAACCTGCGTAACAGAATTATTAATAAACAGTAAGAAAATAGCAGCCGACAAAGCCAGAGCTCAGTGCGTATGCCAACATATATATTTTCTGAGCGGCAATCAGTGTGCCGTGAATGTAGTGTGCCGGAACAATAAACGCCAAGTTAAACAAAACTCCTAGTTAACAAAGATATTGCACTGGTTTAATGGAATCATGGAAAATCAAAAACAATGACAAACTTGATTTGTTTGTTTGTGTATTATTTGTTCACAAACGGTAAGGTCTACTTTAATTATCTCTACAACTCCAAACACTTTTCAAACTAGTTGATTCATCACTAAGAATTGGAATGTAGGAGTGGGTTTAAAAGTTTATCAGTATCTCCGGAGATATCACAGTTTTCACAGATGTGATTGTCTTGAATGTGGAAGTGCTGCAACTTAAATATAAATAAAATAGTTGCAAAATCTCCTAATTATTAGCCGACGGCGAGCCACGAAATTAGTTTGGGGATTCAAATCCAAGCCTTATGCAGGGCGCCTCCAATCACTAAACCTTTACTCATTAGAGTATAGGCGTCTTAGAGGTGACCTTCCTCAACACTTCTGGAAATCCCCCTAAACACTTAATTAAGTTTAGTTCCAACACAAACCTAAGGGGTAATACCCAGAAACTGGAGACACAACATGTCAGAACAGACTGTAGGCACAACTCTCACTCCTTAAGAGTTGCCAAATGCTGGAATTCGTTGCCGGCTGGGCTAGTCTAATCGACCTCCCAGGAGTCCTTTAAGAGTAACTTGACCTATTCTTAAGGATTAAGAATAATATCTTGCTATGATTTTCCAATTTCTTTTCATCTGTTGTCGTTAACATGCCTAGGTTCCTGCCTCGAGGTATTGCCGATCCACTGCTACTAGACACGGAAGCCTGTTAAGCAAAAGCTTCTATTCCGTCCACAATCATTTAAACCACTTAAATATTCCAAGTAAGATTTACATGTAGTATTACACCTGATACTTATATTTAGGTGGGTCATATTGAAGGTTTTAAATATATCAGCCTGAGTAATGCAAGAAGATATCTATCAATATTGTTTAAACAGTTGAACTATCTAGGTGACTAAATATTGGCCAATAATCACCCAACAAGTTGGTGCGCGCTGTTTGGTCTTGTCAATACACGTTTACTATCGCCGCTGTTAGCTAGCTCCGAAATGTCGAGGGTTTTCTTGGCGTTTATTGCAGTGGCCTTTCACGCACTGTCTCTGGGCTCTATAGGTTTGTTCACTGTATGAACTAATCATTTTCCAGGTGCCATATCATCAATGTCTATAGACTTAGGGACTGAGTTTATGAAAGTTGCGGTGGTTTTGGTTTGTTCTTAATGACTTAATTTTAATTCACTCACAACTTTTAGCCCGGAAAACCTATGGAGATCGCCCTTACTCCGTGAGTTAGTGGTTATTATTATCTATTTTTCAGTGATTCTAGAAGAAAAACTTCAACTGCGATCGGCTTCAAAAACAATGAAAGGTTATTTGGCAGTAACGCGATCAGTTTAGTAAGCTCTTTATTATCCTCTATATGTTTTCATCCTGTTACACTTTCTCGGAGCCACACATTTTCTGTTGTGACGTGTGACTTAAGACATATCAATTAACTTGTACTCTGCGTACGTATGATTGTACTAATAGTGCATTAACGATTCATAGCTGCTTATTTTTATCAGTACTGCTGCATGGGAAACAACTGTAGATCTCTTTGGAAGTCTGTAAAAAAGATCAAAGTCGAAGTGGTTGAGATAATATTCCGGCTTACTTTCCAGTTGTTGGGCGTCTGGTGCTTTAACTTAGTTAAAGTCATCATATAGTGTGAGACAAGCCGCCATATCAAGTCATAGCGGAGTAAAATACACAAGATGATTGGCGAGATAATCGAAATAATATTACCAATGGTAGTTCTACAAGAGAGGATAAGCTAAAGAAATGAAGCATGAAATATTAAAACTTAACAGTAATGATGACAAAGTGTGAATGCATATCCACCATTGTTGTCGTTTCCTGGCCATTTCGCTCGATGTCTAGTCTCTAGTTTTAACGTGCAGGGTCGAACTAGGTAGTTTAAACCTACCAACACGATAGTGTAACAGCCTTTGACTTCATGGACTATTGTTTATTTCACTTATGATACCGTTAACTTCCTTCCAGCTTATTCCTACTACAGCAAGCATTACACCTCCGAGTAGGTCGTTGTTAGGCAAACGTGATGTGTCCCAGACATCTCAATGAAGATTGTGATGTTGCTAACCGATCAACTTAGTTTGCGACGCCTGATCTTAATGGTAGTCGATCAATTGTCTCAATAAGTGATCGAGGCTCAGTAGATTTTGTAGCCTGAGCGTCTTTTACTTTCATAATTTACGGCCTTATATTAATGCAAAGCGAACTGTGGCGGATTGCTTTGATTATTGTCTAGGTGAAGTTTTATTCTCTGAGCTGGGTGGTTTGGTTGTGGAGTTTTCATTATTCATCTAAACATCATCAACACAAACGTCAGGTGGCAACATTTGGTACGGTATTACCAAAATTTGATCCATTTGAAATATTTTTATCAAACTTATCAGACTTCATTGGGAACTAGTGAATCATTAAGATTACCAGCATGTGATCAGAAATTGATTTATTCGAAATATTTGTCTCGCAATGATTTTGAATTTTGCTCGACGTAACTGGATAGTTAAAGTAATTGAAATCTGATTAAAAAGCATTTGAATATTACCCAGATTTTACCTTATTAAATGTTCTGTTGGTTCCTCCCTCTATCACAAAACTATTCCTTATTGCAACAGGAGATGTATTAGTTATCTCGTTAAATATATGATTTTGGGGTGCGATTCCGGACTTGATTGTTTAAGCATGTGCTCCTTCAATGCACCGATGAGCATTAAACAAGATTTAATGAACACGTCTTCATTAAATTGAAACACTGATTTTACTTCTGCAACTGAAATTGATATGTTCATACACTGGTAACTGCGTCGTTTATTGTAACGGCGATGCATTGCTTCGGTTTGGGTACCCGGGCAGTATCCTAGCCCTCACACAAATTGAATGATTTATGTGGCTCATATCTGTTTGGTGCCTCTTTGTACCAATGCTTGTGTGTTTAAATAAATAGATAACACTGCGACGTGGTGTAAAAAAGTATATTTGTGACTAAAAACAGGACTTGGGGGGGGGTAAGTTGAATTAAAAGCGGTTATAAATGAAACCAGACGGTTATACTGTAAAATGAGACTTGTCAACTGACCCCGTCGGTAAATGTTATGGCTTTTTTTAAAATTGGCATCGCCAATTATATCCGCGTCGTTCATTCTTATGCTTGAAAGAATGAGGAACCACTGCGAAAAACACCAAGACTGGTACAAATAAAAATTAAGGAATCACAAAAACACGATGACCGTAATCGAGAATGCACATTTATCTGTTGATTGTATACCTATTTTAATTACCAATTAGAATTAAATCATATGAGAAATACCTAGACTTAGCAAACCACATGTTGCATATCATACTGAGCAGAGCTCACGTTAATTTAATACAAGAATATGGTACCTTGAACAAACATCAGACTCAAGTAAATTAATGTCATACCAAATAAAATATCACAATCTAAAACAAAACCAATATTATTTCGAATAATCATTACATTGAATCAAAAGTAGAAGGAATATTAAACCAAATTTACAATTGGTAAAAGGATGTCATTTTGCATTTTCATCCCGTCATATTACATTCTCCTGGTGGTTGACTAGATTATAAAGACCACATCTCAGAAAAGCATGGAATACACCGGACAGCTTGCATGCAGCTAGACGATTCAGACCTCGCATCTGACCTAGCTCTTTTATCCTATAAACAGCAAAAAATGTAAGTGAAGACAATGTAGCAGCAATCTCTGCAACCTCTACAATCATCATCTAAAAGGTACAAGTAATTATAAACAATTGTCTACATAAGATACTCAATGTCGTTGATCATATACCGTCTACTGTGGGAGAGAACAAACTAACTCCCAGCTGAGGAGGAAATTAGTTAAAGACACTGGATGGGACATACATTAGGGAAATCATCAAACTGCATCACAAAGCAAGCACTAACTTGGAATCCTGAAGGAAAAAGGAAAAAAGGATGTCCAAGAGGTTACACATTTTGTATTGTAATTGTTAGTAAAGCGAAACCTATATATTAGAGTCATTTTAACGTGTTATGTCAATATTGTTCTTACTTTTGTAGGCTTCAAGAAATCCTGAATACGTATTCCAGTCCATTCCGTCTCTTCTTGGGAAGTCTATAGATCATCCAATGGTGAAACTCTTTCAGGAACGTTATCCTTACCACAATTTGTCTTATGATGCCACATCTGGACAACTGTTTTTCACTCGAAAAGATGGTGTGGTGTTTTCGGTTGATGAACTGGTCGCTATGCTTCTTGAATATGCCCATAATTACGCTGAACTCTATGCTGGTATGCTTTCCTTTGGCTTTCGGGATTATCACCAAGCTTTATTTATCATACTGCCACTGTTAAATTTTAATCGCGGCACTTTTTGCTTTATAATTATAGAGTTATATCCAGAGAAATAAATAAGTGCTCTGGTGGACCTAGTGTGAACATTTCTCTAGTCTTTTGGACGTATGAAAAGAACAAAGTACCTGTACTTTTGGACTAAATATAATCTCCTAGCTTAAGAAAAAGTTGCATACCAGTTGGAGATGACAATAAAATCTGAGCGACGATCGGTAGTTTGTCTTCAAAAAAGATAAATACCTAATAGAAAATTTAATATTATCAAGAGTTCTGAAGTTATTTCGTAATTATAAGAATAGACACAAAACAGTTCTCTTAATCGTGTGCTCATGTGATTGGGGGAGGGTATATAGGAGCTTAAACAAATCTAAATCAGACCAAAACTAAAGCTGTCTGTGGCAAGTTAGACTAGACTTCGTCACACCTGGTTGTGTGTACAGAACTGCAGTGGTAAAAGTTCTGCCGCGTGTTGGTAAAACATAACCGTTCCATGTTGTTATTTTGTAAATCCCTGTACTTTGGATTACCGTCTCTGATTAGGTGCTCGCATATGGCAGCAAAATCGCATAAATCAAGTTAAGGATTGGGAACCCATGTTTGGGTTATAAGGAAAAGTATAATTTTATGGATGCCATAGTCTTAAAGAATTATCCTTACTATCTGCCGGATTTGGCGCTATTTGGTGATAAAAATGTAATAAAGAACAGAAGTTTGGTCATTTTGTGATAACATCTTGGAATGTATTGTAGTTGTGCCGCTTCATCATTTTGTCGTTCACTAGAGACCTCGGTGACGGCTTTAGGATAATATAACCTTTACAAGTTAGTATGTTACCGAGTAAAGCTCGAAATATAAATCAGTAGCAATGGTGGTATAGTTTTATGTGGTCTTCTGCAGTTTTAGTAAGATAAACCTCAGGAGACCTATCGTGGTTGTGATGTTATTTGAAGTTTATCCTTTAAAACGTTCTGCACTTTGGTTTTTGCTATTTCGAATATCCTCCAAATATGACTATTTCATTTTGTGTGGCACATAAATAAATAAACAAGTTGGTAAGTTGAATAACAGGCTGTAATATCAAATAGTTCTCATAATTACTTTTTTCCAGGTTCTATTATCAAGACTTGCGTGTTGACTGTACCTAGTCATTTTGGTCAGGCTGAAAGGCGCCGCTTAATACAAGTGTCTGAAATAGCTGGCTTAAATGTCCTTCAAATAATTAACGACAATTCTGCAGTGGCTCTGAATTTCGGTTTGCTCCGTTTTAAAAGTTTCAACGAAACACCTCAATATTACATGTTTTTTGATATTGGTTCAATGAGCACAACTGCAACCTTAGCAGGTCAGTTAAAATTATTAGTCACGGCCAGGTCTGAAACCAGCCTGGTTTTCTCATGTTTGCAGTTTTTGTTAAGCGTCCGATAATTATTAAGGCTAGTATTTTAGATGCTATATTAGTCAATCCAGTCCCTGTATGGTTAGCACAGGATGATTTTGACCCTTTATATTTTGGGACAATCAGTGATTGCGACTAGTCAGATAGGATTACATTCAGTTCCCAAATTTTAGCTAAAATATTAGTCAAACTAATCGTTAAAACTAGACCACCACAATTAAAGACCTCTGGAGCCAATCCATCTGGACCACCTGTTCTTCTGCTATACTCTCTCGGTGAGATCTTCAGTTTATTAAGTATCCATTTAGGAACTCTGGATAACATGGTTCAAAAGTGACCATATGAGCTGAAGACATAATTGTTTATCTCCGCTTAGACCGTATTTGTTTCCTTACTCGTCATTGGTTTGGGCTCATGAGTTTATATCTCTTGTTTACATGATTTCCCTACCAGTTTTGTTGATTTTCCTTTCCTATATTGCTGTTTTGGCAGCTTGAACCTATGCTTCGTTCTGTAGTATCATTGCTTGTCTGTTACTGTCATTTTTAAACGGATAAGTTATTTCTATCTGTTCGCTCAGTCTTAAAGTTATCCATTATTTTTTTCGTTGAGAAAATCGGATTATTTCTCGTGGTTTTGTTCCATAGCCTACTCATATGGGAAACACAGAGATGGAGATGTTGTGGCAGATTTCCCGATGTTGAGGATTGTAAATGTCAGGTAAGTTGTAATAAGATTATAATACAACCCGAATGCTTTACTTTTGCCCATACAATAATTATTGTATTGTAAGCCGTGTCACTTGAGTTAGCCAGCTTCGAATGCTTGCAACCCCTTACGCAGCTAAACCTTCTATTTAAGGATGTCTACTTGCTCCTAGATTGAGAGTCTACAGGTAAGCGATCAGTTGCTGAGTGAGGCGATAAAAAAGTTAGATCTTGGAGAATCCTATGACAGATTGGCTAAACATAAGACGACTAACAACTTACGTGAGCGATATTTGGTGTAGCCCACTATAGTAACGGACTTAAATAAGAATCTAGTTACATTTTTCACCTGGTTGATGTGGTAAAACATTCATACATTCAGTTATTCTAAATCATGCGTTACAGTCGTTTAAAAGATTACCAAGTTGTTCGTTGATTTTACTCTACAGACCCTATTAGTTTGATTTCATTTATAGCATTTAGTTAGGAAATGTAACGATACTTTCTCGGAAACTTTTGTTGTTTTAATTGCATACAGTTTTAATGTATTTTCCCTTAAGCACTTCATGTTAACCACTCAAAAGTTCTATCACACCAAATACATCATGTTACAACAGAGGAGCTCACCGCTGTCATATTAAATTCTTTAAAACTGCGTAGTCTGAAAGTCATTAAAATCGAGAGAGTACTTAGAGGATAAAAATTTAAAATTCTAAGGAGTATATGCATCAGTAAACCAGTACAGATATACATTTACAAGTTTGTAATGTTTTATTTTTAGTCATGATCCAACATTCGGTACACAGGCTTTCATTTATCGAATAAGAGATCAGTTATTGGAAAAATTCTGTGAAATAAAGAAATTAGATAAAGATCTAGTGAAAAAAAGTCATCGAGCTATGTCTAAACTGGCTTTAGAGGCCTCAAATGTGCTTACCAAACTTAGTGCAAATTCCGAAATATTCGCCCAGGTAATTGTAAACGTTTTTCGAGCGATGTGTTATTTACATATTTTATTCGTATTTATATAATCTATCCTTTAGTTTTGCTCAACGAAGCAAGTGTTTGTATGTAATTTGCTTTGGTTTACTATTTTTATGATACAAATGGTGAGACTATAATTTATGGACAACCTTTGAGTGATGCTAAAGTGACCTTCAAAATGAGTGTTATAAAGCAGTGTGAGGAGTTAAAATTGTGATTTACAGTTGATAGTTAGGGCTATGAACTAAATTTAGGGTTTTCATCACAATGCCAAAACTCTAGCGTTATCTTATATCTGACTGGTTCATCCATAAATTAGTCTGGCCATATAAATATTAGTTAATATAGGACTTAAAATATAATTAATAAATTAGTAGGTATATGAATATTCATCGATAGTAGTAAGCAAAGTTATGTGATTGTTTCTTGCTAGTTGATAAAGAAGTAATTCAATAACGTTAATATGCTGCATATAGGTTATAATCTATGCGAAAATGCACAAATGATAGGCGTTGAAAATTATTTGAAATACTTATTGACACAATTGTTTTATGCAATTTAGAATTGTGCAATTTACTACGTAAATAACGCTTGCCTTATTCAGAAACTTATTATAATGTTTAGTTCGAAGAAATATATAAACACAGTTTTCGGCAATTTTTTTTGCAACATATAAGGTTGAAAATTTGTTCAATGAAGAAGATCTTAATGTTAAAATTACTCGTGCTGAGATGGAAGCATTTTGTTCTGATCTGTTCGAGAGAGTTAAACGACCGTTTTTCGATATCATGGTCGATTTTTCAATGGAGTCATTACAAGAAGTTATTTTAATGGGTGGAGGTACACGAATCCCAAAAATTCAATCTGTTCTAATCGAGTATAGTCAAAAGTAAGTTATTTTTTTCCTAAATTCTAGCCCAAACTATCTAGTAAGACAATTCTCACTTCTGTTTCCAGCAGATTCAGATTTAGTTATTTTTATGACCCGTTTCGTTTATTTTTCTACGAAATTACTGTTTGATTTATTTTGCTTATAAGTATCTTTTTCAAGCACGCTTCATAATGTAGTCTTATCAAAGTCTTGGTATAATTGTAGTCACAAACTGTAGGACACATTATGTTTCTAAAACGTAACTTGATACTGTCGGTTTGGAATAAATATTAATCAGTTAAAAAGTGAATCATATCGAATAGTAATGGGAAGTACATTGAAATGAATAACATCGATACTTATAAGAGTACAGTTTCATTGATTGGTGGTTGTATAAAGTCAGGCTACATCAACGTTAGATTAAGCTAAAGTGATGAAAATTTTGAGTAAGCCACTTTGTGATGGATACAACTGACAGTTACAAATTTTGGATGACGTGGTAGCTTACTTACTTACTTACGTCTGTTACTCGTTGTTGCTACCTTGACGTGGTGGTGGGGCTTGCCTATCATGATGAAGCAACCGAGCTATACTGGCTGGAACAACCGTTCCTCAAGGTCCTACCATGTCAGACAGGTCGGTTGAAGAGCGGTAAGACTAAAAACAACAAACCCAAGGTCCGAAGGCGAAGTCGTACTGCTGACTGTACAGAAGTGTGACAGCAGTAAGATGTTTCCTTCAGACAACCAGCATGACAGCGATGCTGCCTTCCCACAAGGAGGGGTAGGGTTAGAAAAAGTCAGATTTAGATTCAGATTTGTGTAGTAAGGACAGAAGGCCTACGGCCTATTTTATTCCTTTTCTAGTATGCTTCTGTGAGTGTCCAGTCTTCTCTTGAAAGAGTCAATTAAAGGTGCGGACACCAGTGCTTCAGGCAGCAGGTTCCAAGTATTGATGACTCGGTGTGAAAACCTGTATGCCACGGGTATTTTGTTCGTTCTTGGCTTTTCTACTCGCCTGCTATGTCCTCTAAGGTGTCCCGATCTAGTGGGAAGAAAGAGAGAGAATAAGTTAGGTCCGAAATCATTTCTCAGTATTCTGTACATCAAAATTAGATCTCCCCTTAGTCTGCGGTAGGATAGAGTAAAGAGGTCCAGTTTTTCAAGCCGCTCTTTGTATGTTAAACCCCGGAGTTCCGGAATCGCACGGGTAGCTTCCCTCTGTACTTTTTCTAGTATGTCCGAGTCACCTTTTAAACAGGGGCTTGCAGCCTGAGAGCAGTTCTCTAGCTTAGTTCTCACTAAGGATGTGTATATAGTGGTGAACATGGCAGTATCTAACTTAGTGAATGTCCTTTTTAAAGCCCAGAGGGTTCGAAACCCCTTGGCTGCGACCTCCCGGCAATGGGACGTCGTCTTTAGATCATTACTCACTGTCACCCCTAGATCCTTATGAGACCGGACTACGGGTAATGACACATCCTCTATGTTGTACTTATTAACCTTTGAATCCCCCAAGTGCATGTATACACACTTTTCCGCGTTGATAGGCATCAGCCACTCTTTAGACCAGTTTATCATATTATTTTAGTCTGCCTGAAAAGTAAATGCGTCTTTGTCTCCAGTTATTACTCGCCAAATTTTTACATCGTCAGCGTATAATAACATTGGAGACTGTATTATACTTGTAAGATCATTAACGTACATTATAAAAAGTAAAGGACCTAGGACGGAACCTTGGGGTACTCCACTAAGTACTGGTCTCCAGATGGAGCACTTGGAATTTATTCTTACTTTTTGTCTACGACCTACTAGGAAATCTTTAATCCATTTTAAAAGAGGTCCGGAAATACCAAGGTTTTCCAACTTCAATAGCAGTCTATTAGTTGGCACCTTGTCAAAAGCCTTACTGAAATCTATGTAGACAACATGCACTGAGTTTCCGTTATCTATCGCATTAATCCAGAACTCCCTAGCTATAAGGAGGTTCGTTGTACAGGATAGACCCTTTCTAAAACCATGTTGTGCCATGTTCAACAAGTTATTGGTTTCCATAAATGCCGTTATGGTCCGTTTGATTATTCTTTCCAGTATTTTAATTAAAACACTGGTGAGGCTTACGGATCTGTAATTCGATGGAACTTGTGGACCTGTTTTATGTATGGGAGTGACGATTGCGTCCTTCCAGTCCATAGGTAACACACCTTGGTCAAGTGACATATTAAATATCACAGTCAGTGGGGCCGCGATATATTGGGCAATATGTCTCGAGATTTTGGGGTGTAGTTCATCTGGTCCTGTTGACTTCTCCATATTTAGGGTGCTAAGAGCCTTAAGCACATCTTCTTGGTCGAAGTCCACGGTGAGCAGCTGGTTTGTTGACTCTGTAATTGGGTCTGGTTCTTTCTCTAGAGGAGGTTCCTGAGTGAAAACTGCCCCAAAATATTCAGCCATAGCCTCTGCTTTTTCCTGATCTTCCTCTATCATTTCAGATTCACTTCCTACTTTAATTAGGTTGGGAATCCAATCATGCATCCTCGTTCTGTAGTTTATGTACGAGTATATTCTCTTGGGCTGCTTGAGTTCAGATTGTGCCAGCTGCATTTCATATTTTCTTTGAGCTTCCCGAATTTTCATTATACACTCGTTTCTTATCGATCTGTAGCGTTCCATCGTACTTGCTGTGCCAAGGCGGATGGCAACGTCCCAGCATTTCTTCTTTTGTCTCAGTAAACGTCGAATATCCCGCCCTATCCAAGGATGTCCGTGCTTCTTTTTCTTTGGGACAGTTCAGGGTATGTATGGTTGAGTTACCCGATTGTATAACTGCCTGAATAGAGTCCATGCCTCTTGTACTGATGCCTTTGAGTCAATTTCCCAGTTTTCAGCCGATGCTGCGGAGTTAATTGCCTGCATATCTGCCTTCCATATGTTGGGACGGGCCGGTGCAACTGTTTGACAGGCAATCTCAGCCATGAATTTGAATAAGATGACTGCATGGTCACTTCTCCCAAGTGGTGGGAGAAAAGTCATTTGACCAACATCATCACCGTGTGTGAAAACTAAATCTAAAAGAGAGGAAGAGTTTCTTAAGTCGTATCTTGTGGGATCTCTAATGTGTTGGAATAATGCTAATCCAATCGAGGTTTCTAACAGTTTGCAGTCGAACGACGATATGGATGACCCTACTTCTAAGTTAACCCAGTCGACCCTAAAAATGCACACCTCGCCTTATCCCACGGATATCCGTCTCCGGCGGTAAGGTCTCAACAAGTACGGAACTAACACAAAAATTACCCATAAAAAGGTCATGTGTGACCGACCTCAAGCAGTTGTCCCTTGGGCACTGCGGTCACGCTTCCAGGTCACTAAGACCACCTGTAATCCAATTTCCTTTTCAGGTACCTCCAGAAGAACCCTTCCACGGTGTGGGCAACCGGGAAGTGATAACCGCCCTCATACCTCTAAAAGCACTCAAGACCACTGTATTCATAATCAACCTTCGTCTTCACTTCCTATTATTCCTCCTGTATCGACTTTCACCTCTAAACTTCCTTTTTCGGCTTCCTCCTCAAGTGTCACCATAGCCAACGATTCTAGTGCTCAAAACACTGTCCCAGGCCTACTGAAACCTCGCTCCAAACTACACATTGGAGCCTTCAATGTACGCACCCTATGTCAAATCGGTCAACAGGCTTCCTTGGTTAGAACCCTAGAATCTCGTACCATTGATGTATGCTGTGTCTCTGAAACACGCATACAGGATCCCAGTGTGGTCATTCACTTGACCTCACCTCGGCAACACGAAGAGCCAACGAGATACACCCTCTGTGTATCTGGTGACCCGACGGCCAGCTCTCGTGGACTGGCAGGAGTAGGGATAGCACTAAGCATGAGGGCGGAACAAGCACTGTTGGAGTGGATCCCCGTTAACAGTCGTGTATCTGCTGTTCGGCTAAACGGCTCCGTAAGAACTCGGAAGGATAGGGACACACGTCGTTGCCTTTTTGTCGTTTCTGCCTGCGCTCCCACCGACTGCAGCTCAGATGAAGTGAAAGATGAATTTTACAGAAAGCTATCTGAACTTCAGAAAGCTAAGCGTTCAGACATAGTACTCGTAGCAGGTGACTTTAATGCCCAGATAGGTGGTTTAAAACAAACAGAAAGGCATTTAGGTGGGTATTTTAGCATTCCGGCACAACGAACAGATAATGGTGATCGTTTGCTGCAACTGTGCTCAGACAATCGTTTATTTTTAGCAATTACAAATTTTAAGCATAAGGAGAGACATCGTTTAACATGGCGACCCTCTACACCAAACCAACGATGGACTCAAATAGACCATATTGTCATCAGTCATCGTTGGAGAGGATCGGTAGAAGATTGTCGCTCATTCTGGAGTACCTGCTTGGACTCCGACCACGCCCTAATACGGGCACGCATCTGCTTGCGCCTCACTGGACTCAAAAAAGCCACACTAAAAAGAGCCATTAGAACTGAATTGAGTAGCGAGAAAACCAAAAGTAGGTTCCAGGAACAACTGAGGTCACACTTAGGTAGTTCTGAGAACGAGACTGACCGAGATGTTGCTTGGAAAGCTATACATAAAGCTGTGGAAACAACAGTGACATCTATCAGTGATTTAAACCACATGGTTACAAAGAACCAATGGATTTCCTCAAGGTCTATTGTACTGATGGATTCTCGCAAACTCATCCCGTCAGGCTCTGAACACGATGAAGAGCGACAACAAATCAGATCTTGGGTAAGCAAAAGTCTAAGGAACGACCGTGAGCAGTGGTGGGCAACGAAAGCAAAAGAGATGGAAAAGGCGGCGGCTATAGGGAACACAAGACAGCTCTACAGACTAATAAAAGAAACTGGAATTAATAAATCAAGTGTAAGTCAGACTATTTCGGAAAAAGACGACACCCTCATCTGCTCTCAGTCCAGACGTTTAGAACGATGGGTGGAACATTTCAGAGTACAGTTCAGCTGGCCTCCAACTACTCTACAACTACCCTCCATTCCCAGAGTGTGAATGGAACATTGAAGTAGGTCCCCCAACTCTAGCAGAAGTTGAAAAAGCTATAGTTAATCTGAAACGAGGAAGGGCAGCTGGTCCAGATGGATTGGCTCCAGAGGTCTTTAATGATGGTGGTTCAATTTTAGCGATTAGGTTGACTAATATCTTAAATAAGATCTGGGAGTTAGACGTTATCTCATCTGACTGGTCACAATCACTTATCGTCCCAATATATAAGAGAGGGTTAAAATCACATCCTGTGACAACCATAGAGGGATTAGTTTAACTAATATAGTATCTAAAATACTAGCCTCGATAATTATCAGACGCTTAACTAAGACTCATGAACTGCAAACACGAGAGAATCAAGCTGGCTTCAGACCTGGTCGTGGCTGCATAGACCACATATTCACCACTCGTCAGGTTCTAGAACATATGCATACTTATCGGCGTCCGACAATGGTGGTCTTTCTCGACTTAAAAGCAGCATTTGACTCGGTAGACCGCGAGATTCTGTGGCAGTGTCTGTCATTGAAAGGCGTACCACAGAAGTACATAAACCTTGTGAAGGCTCTTTACTCGAACACTACTAGTCGAGTCAGAGCTTATGGCGAACTGTCATCTACTTTTGCGTCCGTCAAGGCTGTTCACTTTCTCCATTTTTGTTTAACTTCATCATAGACCTATTGATGGAAATAACACTCGTCTACTGAATTCTCGGGTATTGATCTCCTTCCAGGAGGTCCGCTTACCGACTTAGAATACGCAGATGATATAGTCCTGTTTGGTGAAGACGCTGATAGAATGCAGAGTCTTTTAGTAGCACTGAGCAACAATGCGCTTCTCTCCCTCTAAATGCAAGTTGTTGCTTCAGGACTGGTCTGCGTCAACACCTGAACTAAGGATAGGGAGTGAAGTAGTCGAAGGTGTTGACAACTTCACTTATCTTGGAAGTCTGATCAGCCCTAATGGGTTGGTGTCTGACGAAATCTCAGCACGGATACGAAAAGCTCGTTTGGCTTTTGCCAACTTACGTCACCTATGGCGAGGGCGAGATATCCGTCTATCAATAAAAGGACAAGTATACTGCGCAGCAGTCCGTTCTGTTTTACTTTACGGCAGCGAAACATGGCCATTAAGAGTAGAAGACACTCGTGAGCTACTAGTATTTGACCACAGATGCCTTAGAAGTATTGTTGGCGTCTTCTGGGATCACCGGGTAAGTAATAGTGAGGTTCGACGCAGGGTATTAGGGAAGGATGGTAAATCAGTCGATAAGGTTGTGAATCTTCATCGACTGAGATGGTTGGGCCACGTGTTACGTATGCCCGAACACCGATTACCACGACGTGGAATGCTAACCGGCGTTCGGGATGGTTGGAAGAGTGTTAGGGGCACCAGTGCTTGAAGTCACTAACTTCTAGTCTGAACCATGTTGGTAGATGCAGATTAGCTGGTTGGGGTCCGCGTGACTGTCGTAACCAGTGGTTGGAGACTGTAGGTGACATGGCTCAGAATCTATCACAATGGCGTCGGTGTATACACTCCCTGTGTTCCCTTAAACTAAGAGATTAAAATTGTTTAATATCTTTCTTTTTACGAACTAATCTTTTCTTCCCGTACTATATCCTTACTGCAATCTTTCTTTTATATATTACGACCTCTGAATTAACTACTTTTATGAATCCGGTGTCCATCGTTTTGTGTTAATGAGATATGGGAACTTGAACCGATGCATAAATGTGCCTGGTCCTACGTTGTAGCTGACTGACTGACTGACTCCTCGTGAAGGAGCATAGGCCGCTTAGCAGCATTCTCCGTCCAACCCTGTCCTGAGCAATCCTTTCCAGCTCTTTCCTGTATTTTAGTCTGTTTTTAGTACTGCACAATCTTTACTTGTATATATTATGTACTATTATTCTGAATGTACAATACATCCGTTAACTCAAGAGTATTTTATGTCATCCAGCTGTCCAACATTTGTCTGGTGTAATCAATATTCAAACCGTTTTTATAAAGAAGGAAACGGATTTTTCTTTTAATTTCATGTCTATGAGTTGTAATTGACTGTTATTGACAATAAACTTTGTAGACAAAAAATTGGTTGCATACTACAAAGAACAAATTATAGTATTTGAACATCATAACACCACACAAAGTCAGTTGATGGATTCCTATGTATAGCTACTGATGAATTACTCTTGTTATTGATTCCATTTTTATTCACTTTGTTAAGATCGTATTTCCCGTGTTATTTATTGATGAACTTACGTATTTAAAATAGTAATTTTTCAAAGTATATGATTAGCATTATAATATCACGTAATGTATAATGAACATTATAAAGCTCCTGTCATCGTGTACTTTGAAGTTAGTTCGCATAGTGAACTGAAATTAACTGAAGAGCTATTGGAAAGTAATGTGGATTAAATGGCCGTTTCATTCTGGTTCAGGACTTCTCAGGAATGAAAACCTATGGAACCTCGAGGGAATAAATCTGGGGTCGTCAAATCTCGAGGAATGCAAGATACTGTAAAGACTGTGTTTCAACCATTTTGTATCATAAACTCAATCAATTGTAATTTTGTACTATTTTTACCTAGGTCAGAATTACACCGAGGTGTTAATAGTGATGATGCTGCCGCATTAGGTGCCGTGTATCAAGCTGCATTTCATACTCCTGGGTTTCGTGTTACTCGTTTCATTGTTAAAGACTATAATCTTTATCCTATTGCTGTAAGTTTCTGATACATTTCTAATGAACGTTTCTTACTTATTTATCCTTACATTTAACACGGCTATCCCTGCTGTTAAGGTTTGTTAAAACTAAGAATCTAACTTATCGTGTATTTGTAAGAATTCTGAAGTGATAGTCACAGCCTGTTTTAAGTAAGTAGTTCGCTTGTGGGACATATATAAACTCACCGGAATAATTCGAACTGTACTAATTTTCAGATTTTCGATCGCTTGGCAACATTGATAATCTAAAATTTATTATTTACAAACATGGAAAATTGAAAATTTAGTATGGTGCCAAAGTCAGTAGTCCCATGTTTCACATATTTCTAATCATCTAGGTGTCACAGTATAATTTACAAAGGTTCAGTTATGTTAAAACTACAGTTTGAATTTCGCAAATACGGGAGATGAAATTAAATAAATCCCTAAATACTTAACATTTCTTCCAATTAATTTGCTCCGTTTTCCATTATTAAGTACCGTTGTTTCATTAGTTTAAATTATTGTCTCCTCCTGTTCCGTATTTTAAAGGTTAGCATCTGAATCTTATGCATATATATATATATTTTAAATGTTACAGGTTGATTTTATGCGTGCTCCACCGTTACCAAGCGATAAGTCAGACAAAGATTCACATATCGATGATCAACAGGATGGATCTTATGTTCGACAAGTTCTTTTTCCCCGTGGAGCTATTTTTCCTCAAAAACGCGCAATCAAATTCAATCGACATATTAATGACTTAGACTTCTATGTTAATTATGTCGATCTTGATGGAGATGCTGCTCGGTAAATATTGTTCCGTTATTTTAATTTAGAATATTTACGACGATTGCTTACAAGTAGTTAATTATTTTTCTGAAATTTATCACTTCATACTATCGTTTCTTATGCGTGAGGCAAACCCAAATAGCCTAACGGTTGAAATAACTACACTTCATAACTTCGTTGTCAGATTTATCATATTTACCTAGTACTTTTTGTCATCAATGGAATTATGTTTACATTATTCGGTCAGAAAAATTTCAGTTTTTATCCACCTCTCTGAATATATGACAAGATGAATAGAAGCCAGAGAAGGGATAATAATTCAAAGTTGTCAGTGTATGGAAGCGAAAGCAAGTTGTATTTCTTGCTGTTGTGAAAAGTGAAAATTTCCCAAATGGTATACACTTGGGGTTATTTTTTCTTAAACAAACTGTAAGAGATCTCTACCTGTTAACCTCTAGTGTTTAACGGTAATCACATTTCTTCACCATCACATATCATTTTCCTTTTTGTGTCAACTTGAACTACTTGGTTTAAAAACCTTAGTATATTGTCCAACAATCTAGCGACTTTGATTATGACAGCTTATATGATGTACAAAAAGTGAGTTATAAAAACTATTCACTCCTAGTTCGATTGGATATATCCAATAACGTAAATCACAGCAGTCTAACGAGAATCAATAAAAATATATCTGTTTTATAAATGTCAAATCATTGGATTTGTATGTCTATACCTCTATTTAGAGTAATATAAAACAATTAATCAGGGCCATATTAAACTCGCTTATTTGATAAGCATTTCTTTTAATCCCAGAACTATTGGATATGTTACCCAAATATATTTATATCATTTGCTCATTGTTTGAAAATAAAGCCCTTCCAAAATAGACGATCAACGGTAATTTATATCAAAATGAATTGATTATTCCTTAAAATAGTCAATTGTTCATGGTAAAAGCAGTTAAATCTATTTGATAGATGTTCGTATCGTTAGCTTAAATTTCTTCTTTTCTGTTTTGACTAATCCATTTATCTGTCCCAGGTGCTTCATCAATTGTACCGAATCGAATTAGTTTGTGTACCTATTGAACATATTGTCACCTTATATACTCTCATATTAATTACTGTCTTCGCGAATACTTTAACATTATTTCTAATTGTTCATGTAATCTTTAGTTTCCAAGGTCCAAACTACAATCTTAGTCATATCACTACGAGAAATGTATCAAAATCAGCTAAACACTATTCGTTTGCTGAGCCTCGAGGTGTCAAAGCACATTTTATTATGGATCACAATGGAATTCTTGTTCTTAGCGGTGTAAGTTGTATATTTCATCCTATTGAAAAAAAAGGAATATCTAATGATTCAAATAAGGCGAAATCTACTTTTGAAAGTAAGTTGGTAAATAATATTCTGTGGTCTGTCGTTGGCATATTCACGTTAAGTTAGTAGGTGCTAACGTACCTTTTTTCGCACAGTTCTATTTTATTCTACTGGTAATGGTTAAAGGTGAAAAAAATTTGTCTCACATCCAACCAGATTGCATTCAGTAACATTTCACTGATTTTCTTCATCAGTGCTACTGAAATGGTTTTTCACTCCGATATCATATTTCACAAAATTACTTCATAATGATTACTTATAGTATTGTATTTAGTGTTTACGTATTAGAATTACTAACATTGTTGACCTCTTGGTTTAAGTACCTGCTTCGATCTGGGCCGCCGGGCAGTATCCCAGCCCACACACAAATCAAGTAACTTGTGTGGCGCGTACGTATTCGGTGCTCTTTTGTACCAATATTTATGTGCTCAAATAAATAATAAATAAATAACTTGGTTTAAGTATAACACTGTCTAAGTAGGCTTATAGAAAGGATAGTTTGCTTGTCAACTTTAGCTATCATAATTTCTATTGTTCTGTGTTTTTGCAAAAGAGATATTTTTCTCTTGATCACGTTAGCTTATATGTATAGATGATCTGTAGATACTTTTAAAACATTTGACTATTTAAATTTTTTTTCGCTTATAGAAATTGGTAGTACTTTAAGTGGATTATTTGGTGGAGGTGACGGTGCAAATGTTGATAAAAATGTACCCGAACAGGATACTGCTGTCAACACAACAGATGATGGTGGCGTTAATTTGACTCATGTCAATACAGTGAATATTACTAAAAACTCTGTAAGTTTACTATTATTTCTTAATAATTAATATTAGATTTAGTGGTGTTACCACTTCTACTACTCTGGGATTCGCGATGCTAACGGATGTGGCGATTTGAACCGTTGTACACACATACCACGTGTTACTTCTCATTTGACTAACTGACTGGTATAATGCGATATAACTTCTTTATTCTGATTTTTAAAATTATACTAGTGTGTCTAATTTACTTCATCACTAATTATTGCTTACAAACCGCTCAACTAAAATCCATCACAATTATCTTTTTGTTATATGTTCGATGGCTTTATTATGACCTCATTTCTTTAACTTGTCATAGAAAATCTATTATTTCTATTCGATTTGAATACAATTACAGCTATTGAGTTTCTTTAACTGTTACAGACCATTTTAAACAACCAAACTATTTCTGTTAATGACGATAACGTATCTGGCAAAGATCAATTAACAGTAGATGTAAAGGTAGTTTATTTGCATCCCATTCTAATTTGCTTATATTTGCTTTCATTGAGTAGTAAAATCTTATTATGTATCTTTTATTTTAAAGATTTTGATCATAGCTTCTGTTTGCTATAATTAGTTTTGCTTTATGTTTTAATCGAACCATGCATGCATACTACTTATGTAGTTTGAGTTTCATTCCTCATTTATGCTTATTGTGTATATCTGTTGTGCGTTGATGACATACTATTTTAATGATTTGTACATTTCACTTTTACCTTTCAAAGTCTACAGGACCATTTTTTGAACCTATCGACTATGAAGTTGTTTATTTAGATTTTCCTGACTTGACTGCTAAAGAATCAATTGTGTCACAATCTAAGTAAGTTGTAAAATAACCTAATGTTTTTTAAGGGTAATTATCTTAATAATTTTTTTTTCATTTTATTGACTTACTCAATCCTTATACTTTAGATACTATTGCCAAATTTTATATAATAAACTTGATACAACACTAATTTATATTGGAACGGAACAACTTCATTAGATGCATTCTGGTTGTACTTATGCTTTCCCAAATATCATGGACGGCCCTATGAATATCCGTTGATTAGTTCTGTGCCTATAACATCCGACTTCATTTTATTTATGTGTATATCTGCGACACGAAGACATAAGACAAGATAAATTATTGCCATGCTATCGTATAATAATGTTTTGAGAGTAAGAGTGTAATTTCCTTACTGTCTTCTGTAGAAGAGCATGGTTTATTATGGTGGGGATATTTCATAGATTGATTAAGCTTATGAATGTAATCTGACGTCAAAATTTCCACATATTAATAAATCATGCGTTTTTAGCAGTCATTCCTTTAAAGGTAATCTTTTTATTATGTTATGAATTTATATATTCTGTTTTTCATTTTCTACTGATCTATGTTTTTTGTTGCATCAAGATTGGAGAAGTTACGTGAAGCAGATAAAGAGAGAGCTGCTTTAGACCAGTCTATTAATCTGCTTGAAACTTTATTGCTCAATACAAATGATATGATTTCAACTGATTATAAGAAATATGGTACTGAAGAGGAACTTAAACAGTTAGATAATGTATTACAAATCGCATCCAGTTGGTTTGATGAACAAGGTCATACTGGTCTAAAGAATGTGAGTTTATCATCATTTATACTTCTCAGAAGGGGTTTTGTGGAGATTTCAATAGTTAAAATCATGAGTCAATTGAAGCTAAACCACCATGAAAAACCTGGAAGCACTGAACGACCGTTTCGTCCTGATGTCACAGACTGTAGAAGATTATCATTTAAGTCGAGTTATTAAACAATCATTTAGTCTCATATTTATGTAATCCTATTGACTTTAACTTTGTTAAATGAAGATTTTGTGTAGTAAATTATTAATCAAATAATATATATCTATACTGTTGATTAATCGAATGAATCCACTATCTTTGATCATTCTAAAAAGATTTTTTAATTTATCAAACTAAAAAAGAATATCAGATGGGTTTTGTGGATATTACAATAATTTCAATGGTTAAGATCATGAGTCAGTTGAAGCTAGATCACTATGGAAAACCTGGAAGCACTGGACGGCCGTTTCTTCCTATTGTGGGACTCCTCAGCAGTGTGCACTCATGATCTCAACTATTGAAATTACTATAATATTCACAAAACCCATCTGATATTAATCAACATGCTCACTAGTGACTGGCTTCAAGATGTATATTCTGGAGTTCTAGTGAGAAGTAGTGACCAGTGGAGTTCAAATAGATAGTAACCTACTGAAGACAATGGTGGATGTGTCGCTCAATTTCGTGAATTAGTTGAAGTTAGACATTAACACCTTTGGATGCTGGTTCAGTGGTCTAGTGGTTAAGTGCTCGCGCGCGAGACCAGTAGGCCCGGGGTTCGAATCTCGCAGGGGTTGAGGTCGTGGATGCGCACTGCTGAGGAGTCCCACAATAGGATGAGACGGCTATCCAGTGCTCCCAGGTTTTCCATAGTGGTCTAGCTTCAACTGACTCATGATCTTAACCATTGAAATTAAAAAAGAATAATTCAACAAGTTGTTAGTGTTTATTTTTTAGAGTACGGAACTGTAGTTTATAAGGTAATATTATTTTAATTTTTTAATTTTAATTTTAATTAGTCTTAAAAATAAAATGTATAAATTCTCTTTTGATAAACAATATGATCGTTATGTCGTCGGTAGTTGACAGATACTGGATTCATTTACTAAATGGTACCTATTAATAATATAGGGGTACACATACACATACTCATTCCTTTTCACATTATTCACATTTTACTGAATCAGATTTTCTTACTTTCTAAAATCCTCTGAATATTATTATTGGTGTAGATTTAATTATTGAGAGTTATATATTGTTTGATAATTTTGATTTCAACTATGACCCTGAAGAAGTCCAGGCAAAACTGTTGGATAATATATTGGAATTATTTAAATTTCAATCACTCATTTTCAATATAATTTTCACAAAGAATCTGTTTAGGCAATCAACTTTCAACTGAAAGGATTTCCTGTTCACTTTCTTATCTAATTCTATTCACATGACTGAATAGTTTCTTCGTACATAATTATATGAATCTCTTACAACCAATAGTTTCACAGTATACTTATACAGAAGCATAAACATTAATGATTTGCTGTGTTAACTTTATAAATTCATGTGAATTTTTTGTTCATGCATAAGTGTAGCATATTTATATGTACTTGCATCTTACTGTAGAATTAGCTTAGCACCAAAAAAAGCTATGGCTGTCTGCATCCATTAAAACCCTGTACCTCAATTATTTTCAGAAGTGGGGAGTTGATGGTAAATATCGCCGTCGCTAAATGACGTTGACCGCAAACAGCTAATTAGTCTGCGTGTCTTCAATACTCCGCTTCTACGATCCTATACAGGATCAATATCAGAGCTCTTACACATTACAGTGAGCAAGATGTCAATAAGGTGTCGATTGTCACCACTGCTTATTTAAAATTTAGTAAATAATTAGTGAAAAGTCCCATTAATCTGTACTGCCAAATAGCCATGTTTCGAATTTTCTGTACTGTTTATTAAAATATCGAAACAAATAGAACGTAATCAACATTGATCTTGACTGCATAGTTGTTTATTTACCATGGTCGTTCAATCATCATTCTGAATCTGGACATGTTCACTATTTCTACTTTGTCAATATATTATCATGTCAGTTTATCCGGTGTTACGAATATAGACTGTTTGGATATTTTAAGAAGAAAAATACTCAAATAATGAAATACGTAATCAGTTTAACTTTTCAATTATTTTCTAGGATTATGATATCAGAATAAAAGAAATCCAATCGTTAATTATTCCCTTTGAGAGAAGATCTACTGAGATTAAACATCGTGCGAAAGCAATACTATCGTTTAATAAAACAATCGAATTAGCCCAAAAAACATTAAATGAAATGGTTGAATTATCAAAACTTTTTTCGCAAACATTGAGAACCACTCTATCTGAACAACAACAAAATCAGAATGCATCAAATAATAGCTCTGAACAAACTTCAGAAGAATCATCACCATGGAAAAATATCTTCACTGAAGTTGAAATTGATACACTAAGAAATAAACTAGGTGAATCAAAGGTAACGTTGACTAGTTGTTTTTTGTCTATTACAGTATACAGTGTTCATACGAATGAATGTATGTTGAGTAAAGAACTATGTTATTATGTCATTTATGGGGACTCCCCATATATAATTGGAACATAACAATGAGATTTCCATTCATATGATTAATTGAAATGATAGATTGATATTAACCACTGTTCGAACCTTGGGATATGTAATTGTAACTTTATTGGTTAAACTGTTTGCATTCATATATAATTCTATCCATGTAAATTTTCTACATATTTGCGCTTGTTTATGTTCGTTTGTCTATTTTACTCTGTCTACTTTCGTATATGCTTTGACTATTAACAGTCAAATACCATAAACCACATGCATAAAGTATACATATTCGAGAAACTATTCGTTTCCAACTTTTTATTTCTATAGATATTTATACCAAGGTTGAACTTGATAGTTTCAAATGAATTGAGTATTGGGTAGAGTTAATTATACATATATATACTTTGTAACAATGTAACAGGTCGCACGTCAGTCAGTCAGTAACAACGTAGAACTTCGTACGTACGTACATCAGTTCGAGTTGCCACACCACGTTAGCACAGAAATGCAGTTGTCGATTCAAATCCCGTAGTTATAGAGGCGGTAAGAGTATAAGCAATAATCGGAAAGATTAGGGTTTGAAGATGTTATTTAAAGAGTATAATCCAGTGAAATAAATTTGGAAAGAGGAAAAAAGTGACAAGGAGGATTCTGGAGATTAGAATTCGGGAGAACAAGAGTATATCCGAAGTTAGTCAGAATACGTATTTCATCGATGGTCATCCTGTGAAATCAGCTAGGGTGATTATATCAATATTAGGTTTTATATAATCATTGATTGAATGTAAATGGCACTTTTCACTGCTTGCTTGATGCAATAAAAGTTATCATATTTTTGTTGACAAAAAGGTAGTGAGGTAAAGTGTGAACGAGTTTCAGTTATTCTTTACCATATCGTATACTTCATACATTATATGTACGTATACATACAAATTACTTTCAGACTTGGTTAGCTGAATCTACCGAAGTTTTAAACAAATCTCCAACATACGAAGATCCTCCGATTTTGGTTTCTACTATTCGAAGTAAAGAAGGTGAATTGTCCCGAGAAATCAGCTATCATACCACTAAAATGAATTTATGGAGATCAGAAATTGCTCGTATGTTTGCTGAGCAAAGCAAAATGAATACTGCAGATCCACTAAAAGGTTTGTGGTTGTTTTTGTGGACAAAGTTTGTTTCTGGTCATACTTTTTATCGTTCTTATTTTGCAATGATTTATTCATGCTCTTGTTTATACAGTAAACATTAAACAAAAGATAAGATGTGCTGTGCGGGTACCTAGAACGGAATAAAGATTAGATTATCAAATTTGTGACGTAATTTTAGAAGTGTCGATCATAGTTCTGTTAAATCTACCGTTTTGGGGATATAAATATGAAGTGGCTTTTATGTAACGCCTTTCTTGACAACATATATTTTCTCTTGATAGCTTAACTTACAAACTGATTCTAGCTAGACCACCGCTGAAAACCAAGAAACACTGGATAGTTGGTTTGTTTTCGTATGAAGTCCCTCTGCAGTTGCTACTCACGACTACAGAGAGGATCTGACCTTGGATTTTTGGTGTCATTCCCGAAGTGAACCGGTATCTGTTTGTTAACATATCTAACTTCGATCAATTGGCGATACTGTGCGGCTGTCTTTCATCATTTACATTGGATAGCTGCCTCATATCCGATATAGTTGAGATCCACTGGTCACGGCATCTCACTAGAACTTCAGGAATCGCATCTTAAAACTGGTCACTAGAGAACACATGATTATTGTTAGTATATGAGTGTTTCTGGAGATTGCAGAATTCTCAAAGTCACGAACTGATACTAGCTGGGATTGATTGAAGTTAGACGTGCACACCACCGGATACCAGGTAGTAAAGTTCAAGCTATCAGACGCAGAACCGACGGTTCTGCGTGTGATTCCCTTTGTGGTTGTTAATTTGCATTGTTGTGTAGTTCCGTAATAGGACGAAACAGTTGTATCGGTGCTTCCCAGTTTTCACTGATATTCCATTTAAGATCAATTCATTTTTCAAATAACGAAAATTCTGTACTCTCTAACACGCCTATATCAGAAATATTTCATTTTTCCTTTTCTAAAAAGACTACTGTTTATCTTATCTGTTTTTCTGGGTGTATTTAATTGGAAATCAACTTTTATTGTTATTTTACATTGTTTTGTCCAACCAGATAAAAGCCAAATCCCAACTAGTACCAGTGGTGATGATAAAACTATTTCTGGAACTGTTAAAACAGATGAAGAGCCTACAACAAAAACAACAGAAGATACTACGCGTATGTTTAAATGTTTATATTCACAATAAAAATATATTTCATTGAAATCATGAACCGATTTGTGTTAGACCACGATTGGAAACATGATGTCTGTTTCGTCTTCGAATGAGACTCCGTTGGATGCGCCCAGTGCTTCCAGGTTTCCAGTGGCTGTAACCTTTACACAAAATTATGTAGTTTGTTTACGAATTGTAGTAATTCCAGGCCATAGTACAGAAATATGTAAGGCATTATTGTGGATTTTTCTGTTTGTTACCTTAGGTTGTATGATAAAAATTCTTTGTATTGGATCACTTTTTGAGTTGTTAGAATTGTTTGGATTCGATTCCTACTGCCGATCATAATCTGATCTCAGTTTATTCATAGTTGAACTGTATACTTCGATTCCTTATATGTCACTTATAATGGCAAATAACTAAGAGGGTCTTTCCAGGTAAAATATGAAACATTACGATGTTTTTCAGCTTTTTTAGTGTGCGATATTCTGACAAGAAATAATTAACAGTTATGCAAAAATAATTTATCATTGTTTTCCTCATTGTTACTTAACAGGAACACCAAGACCGGAGTTGTAATATCACGTGTAATTCCAAACAAATTGAGATAAAATCGGCTGAAGATGAGATGTTTTAATGTTGATTGAATATTGCAGTCCCATTTCATCTTAGTCTGTTTTCATTAAACTTTATCTTTTGCTTACTCTGTATTCACATATTAATATTTTTACTGTGATGTCTTCTTCATTGTTTGTGTAAATTTCTTTCATTCATTGTTTTCTAATCCAAAACACTTGGTAGTAGTATTGTAAGCGTTACTTGCATTGTTGGTATAAATATATGTATTTTTTATAACAGAAGTTTATTGATTTCATTCATATCAGTCCAGTGGATTAGTGTCCATTTTGTATACTTCATACAACGAATGTGCGTACTATTTGGTATTTGTCTTATTCAGAGAAGACCATTTCATTTTCGATGATTTTGTTTATAAAAGCTGTACTATCGTATTTCAGTGAGATAAGAAAGGTCCCGAACAGGTTTTGTATTTAACTATGTGTAAATAAAATGAGTGGAAATCATGGAATACAGTTCGTAATACTAGAGAAAAATATCTTATCAATAAATAGTTGGATTATCAGGCTGATTAGAAATTATAGGACATATGTGAGATCAACGATCAGAGATACATTTCGATGAGTGATGTGTTTGTTTGGGTCCGATAGCTTATTTGTTAAGCCTTGATTACCTTTGTGAATAATATCATTAGCACCTACTTCGTGTAGAGGTTAGCTATTTCACAACTGCTAAATCAGTCTCTTCTGATGAACTTGTGCGTAATTGGTTGTCTTCGTGGGTTTTGCTGTCCTCGTTTGCTTTTGCACTCATGTTATTTGGCTTATTCGGTTAACCTCTGACCTCGTTAGTTGACCTCTTCCGTATAGGTTGAATTCACGTCAGGCATATTGACAGTTTCTACCATTTAAAGTTTGGTGTGATTTTAAAGGTTAGTAAATAAAGGCCATTATAAATGGGAATAAGAATTGATACGGATGATCGTTTTGATTAAAATAATGATTAACTGAATCTTAATCTGATGTGTTCGAATTTACAAAAAAAATTAGGGATAAGATAGCATATAACTCAAAATTCGAAGGGCTTGTAAATTACTAACAAAAAGTTGTGAAATAATATCTTGGGAAAATATAGAGAAAAACAAGGTCATAACATAGAATGCGACCTTACAAACTGTATTTGAACGCGTAGATCTAGCTCGATGTCTTGCTTCAACAACGCCTCTACTGTACAGAAGGGGTGTGTGTATGTACGCCTCTAGATAGATTTTTGGGTTCATGGATAATCTCGAACTCAGTGTCTGGTACTGGATAATCATGGTCAGCTGTATGCTTTAGTATAAACGATTTTATACTTTCCCATCAGGCAGGTGCTTTCTTGTATTTCGAGGATGTCCCATGATGAACAACCCATGTACCTAACTTCACATGAGATGAATATAAAAATTGCATATTAAACTAAACGAGGTACCACGTCATTTACATAGGTGTGCACCAGTGACTGGCTTATCAAGGTAAGTGATTTTTTTATTGAAACGTTCTCCCAAGTCTAGTACTTTCCGGCCACTACAATTCACTAGATTTGAAGCAAATCAGAAAGGGAATTAGTAGTGATGGAATAACAATGTGCATTAATAAATGGTATGTACATGAGTTTTCAGTATCTTTTAGATTCGTTCAACAGAGGTGGTCGGTTGCCAGTAAACCGATAAGTTATTCAGTCCTTCATATAGCATAAAATCGTCAGGAGGATATTCTGTTAAACCTTATTTCTTGGGATAATATCCTGTTTAAAATCACGGTTTGTAGTGCTTCTTATTTTTGTAACTAATAATGAAACTTGTATTCAACAGACAACTTTCATAGGTATTCTTGGTTATTATGATGTTTTTGCGTTACCATAAGACTAGCAATAGACTGATATCTAAATTAGTAAGATTTGGTTATTGCTTAAGCCACTAGCTCTTATAGGTGATTCGTTTGTATTGAAGTGATAAGATGTTTATTAAATATACTCCTTTGCAATCTGTTATTACGACACGAACTGTATTTCTCTGAACGAATCAGTGTGCACTCTTCACTTAATTAAGGGAGAAATGTATCCGCATGATTAGCAGACGTTTTACCCTAATATATATTGCCTAAATTATTTTATAGTTTTCTGTATTCAGGTTGCTACCTGTTTAATAGTGTACATATTTTGGTGTCAATGTACACCTATAAATATAATATGGACTACAAATTAATCAACTTTGTATAAATGATTTCGAAATGCTGATCTGTTCCTAGATGTTACGTAAATCTATAAATAGTTTTCAAATACTATTAGAAATACAAGGTTTTTAGATTTTATAAAGCTTTGCTCATTTGGTTTTAGTTCATATAATACAAAATCATGAGTTTTCGTAAGTAATTTTAATGATAATAAGATTTATGTAATATATTAGTAAATTTATTGTAAATAAGTAGTATTTTATGAATATACAACTTTATGCATATCGAGTTTTGTTCGATATCTACATGTAGTATTATATGGACATTGTCAATCCATATAATATATTCTAAAAGTAGCAATTAAGTTTCACTTTGACAAGAAAATCAAGTCATTAAATAGCTACATGTTATTAATTGGTGGTTTTAAGAATTAATTTGGACAAAGTTTCAAGAAACAAATTAGGTTGTGTTTGTCACAGTTAAAGTGACATTGAAAACCAAGGAGTACTAGACAGCTGTTTTATCCAAATATAGAACTCTTTAGCATTGTACACCTTTGACCCTACCAGTGATGGAACTGCAGTTCTTTAGGTTGGCCATTGGAACCACTGTGTTAAAGTCAGTTGGTACAGTTTCAATGTAAGTCAGTTTGTGATTACCGACTACTAAATTTTATTTAGTGACGATAGATTAACTCATTCATGACAGAATATGATTGGGGTGATAGATTTATTTATTTTAACACATTAATATTGATACAAAGAGGTACCGAATACATATGCACCACACAAGTCACTTGATTTGTATGTGTGTGTGTGTGTGTGCGTTATGATACTACCCGGGTGCTTATACCAAAAGAAGATACTTATTGAAGCTCGTTTAATTTTAATTATCAATAAAATAACTGTGAACAGATGATATTTATGATAGTGATATTGGAAATAATTTGTAAAAACAGTGGAGTTTACATTGTATATTTTAATTTCTCAAAAGAACACATGGATAAAAATCACAGATTATACATACTTTTAAAAAAAACTATTGTTTATGCATTAATAAAGTGTTATAATGTTAAAGGAAATGAAATATGATTTTCGTAGAAAATGAATCTTTATAGAAACAAAATGAAGGAATATGATTATTGTGAATGATAAATATAAATAAAATCTAACGGATAAACATTGAGTACACAAAACTATTTATAATACACATCTACAGTAGTATAACACTGAATGAAATTTAAGAATTCTTTATCATTAGTCTAATGATATATATTGCATACATGGTATGTGCAAATGTTTTAAACTTATTATCTATGGTGAAATGAATGACAACACTGTGAAGGAGACGACATTCATCAATATGAAATATTTTAAAGATCTATAATAAAATTACATCAATTTATTTGTTTTGAGCGATATTTTACGTGTACTGAATAGTAAAATCTCTTTGAAATACATAATCTACATAAAAGTTATATGACATACATTGAGAGAATAAAAAAGTTCAAGTCTAATTAACTTAAATTAACAGAAATTTCGAGTGAAGTATTACAGTTTTTATTGGTATTATTAATGAGGAATATTATTCTTACAATACAATATAATAGTTTCAAAAGGAAATGTATGTATGTACTTGACAATTAAACTACCATACGTCGTACACCACATTCAGGACAAAATCTTACAGCTGAAGTTGGAAATTTATAACCACATTCAGAACAAACTTTATTTGATTTATCATTTGTTACTCCTTTCGAGCTGTTTTGTGCATAACTAGTTGTTTTGCTTATATGTGTTGGTTGTCTAAAATGAAATAATAAATAAGTTTATTATACATGAATGTATTAAGCTTAATAATGCATAAAACGAGGAAATTTCGAGTAATCGAACAAATTTTGTAAATTTCAATTAACTTCATTAGATAATGTGTCTTTGATAAACTTTTCTTTATTTTACTTTAATATTGAACCTTTCGGTGTATTAATCTTGAAAGTTCTGATGGATGATTTAGTATGACAGTAATTGTTGCGGCTGTATTTTGAGCCGAAAGGTTCCAGTTTCCATCAAGTTATGCCTAAATCTAGAAATCCTTAGTTATCTGCAAAATGTCTTTATTGTTTAATTTCAGTTGTAGAATTTTCATTATGGCTATAGGTATCTTTTATATAAACATGTACCAGTTGTAATTGAATTTTCAAAATCTTTGTTATTATCATTAAAATACTTTTATCCAATAACACATACCGCATTTGACTTGACGGCAAGCCTCGTTTATTATTGCTATGTGGTGTCTCTTCTTTTGGGTTATTTGATGAGATATGTGGTTTTATCTAAAAGATAAGAGAAATAAATACAAACATCTTATTCTTTAAAATTCAAAAATATTTTATTAAGGTCCTTAATCAATAAGACAGTATTCCATTGCACAATTATCATATCCGTCAGTTATAAATCAGTTTTCATTACAATGAATATTCTTTAATGACCACTTCCTATTATAAGATTTTCTTATCTATAATGATTACAAATATTAAATACCAGATTTTGGTGTTCTCTGTAATTCTACTTGACTCAAGTCACATATCAACCAAAATGTTACATTAAGAAAAATTTGTGCAAAATTAAATGACTTTTAGCCATTAATCCATAAAAGTGTGTTATGTTGGAATGTTGCTCATATGTGTGTGAAAATCATGTGAAGTGAGAAATTTCGCAGATTTTAACTGCCTATCTCATTACACAGTTTTTATTAGTTGAATGAAAAGGTATACGCATAACCTTTGTTGGCTAACATTAAGACGACCATGGGTTTTTTTCTTGGCCGTAGCAACAAATCTTGAGGGTATGCCCGTAAATATTAAAAAAAAACATATTGATCAATTTAAGTGTAACTAAAATATGTGCTTAATATGTTTAGAGGCATGCTTTTTTCATTTAAATAGCTAAAGATACGGTACGCTGAGAAGTAAATCATCTCAGGCTGTAACTACGATTGATTACTAGAACTCATTAAAAAGGTAATCAATGCACAAATTAAAGGCTTTTACATCCATTATAAAGCAATAATAGAGGATTACTGTTATGACTTGACCGCAGATTAGAACGAAGCGTATTATCGATCGAACCAAAGACGCGCAAACACTTAAGAACGGTCTATGGTTCTGATTGGCCCCGCTTCCCTGTCTAGCCCAGCCAGTTGAGTCCAGAATGCAAGTCTCAGCCTCGGAGATATGAATCGTTATATTTCAAACATACTCTGTTTATATACCAATCAAGCAGACCACATCGTACCATAAAATAGGAAATAACATTGTAAAATATTGACCAACAGGAAAGTGACACGTTAAATAAATATTAACCAATAAGAAAATGATACCATTTCCAAGTCCAAGAATAGCATTAGACCTAATAGAATAATCTTTGGGATATTTTCCTGAATATCCCAACAATTACATAATTTTTAAAATTACTGACATCATTGAGGGACGTCTTAGAGGAGTGCATTACAGGAAGGCGTTAAAATTTGTTTGTTTTTCTAATGTGGAGGGTGAATGTGAATACTAAATTTACATCACAGTTATTTTAATGTTATTCACCTTAGTTTAAAATTTTATGTTATATAAATATGAATATTTGAGTGTTCTGTTATAAATAAAAAAGGGTGCATACCATTTCATCCTGATTTTTACGTAATTCACTAGAATTTCGAACACCGGTGGTTGAAGGATTTTCTAAAAGTTAAAAGTAAACATGGTAGTTTTGCTAATGAATGGACGTAAACTTTGTTATTATGATACGAATGAAATTCGACTTGGTTTCAATATCAAATAATTTGTATATCAGTGAAAAATGGTAAAATCTTGATTTATAAGCAAAGTAATTGATTTTTATCCCATATACATTATTAAGATTAAATAATAAACGATAATATGAACTTTTTTGGTTCATTTATCACTGTACCTGATTGGTTATTGACTATTACAGAATTAAACACACAGGAATTATTATTTTAAATAAGATACATCGTTTGTTGACTTCAATAAAATGGATGATCAACTTTTGATCTTAAACAGAAAATTACAGTTCAAAGTTATTAATTTAATAGTTTTTTTATTAACTTACAGACAACATTCTTAATAAATCAGTTAAAAAAATCTTTTTAAAAGTTATAGTTGATAACTTAGGTGAAACAAATAACCACTTTAATATCATTTGAATATTAGAAGAAATCTGTTAATATTTTTAGGTAATATCCAATTGATCTTATTGATCATCATAATATATCATCGTTTACCACCAATACATACACCAGGATAATATCGTTCTCTGCTTGACTCTAAGTCATTAATTTTCGACAAGATTATTGATAAACTCTATAAGTGTCAGACTGAACATTTTGTGCCCGATAATTGGATGCTTTGTGTTTGTTTTCAGTTTGAAATATGATAAGGTAATCTCTAGTTTAAAAAATATACAATGATTACTTATATTTTTATTTCAAGTATTTCACTCTCTTAACAACATTTTAGTTTAAAGTAGAAAATAGACAAGAAAGTAACCTGTTAAGTAAAAAAATATCACATCGATTACGTGTTGGTTTGGCTAGTTGTGGTATTCCATGTTTTGTGTTTCGTGTTGAACTTGTATTATGTAACGTTCGACTATGATTCTCATCGTTAGTAGGTAATCCATAATTATTTTGTGTATAAGAAGTACTTGAGCCTTTTCTGTTACTTCGTATTGTAGGATCAATATTAGCTGGAGCCTAAACATAATATAAGTCAATCAGTAAACAGATAGATGTCAAATAGAAAGAGAGATTAAGCACTTAAAATAAATGTGGGTTAAATTTAGGGTCATAATACTAATACTACTAAATGACATTTCGCCTTCGGACAAAACAGGAAACTATTTTATTAGTAATTAAAGATCATACGAACGTCTCTAAAGTTCCAATCAATTCACGTAAGTTGCTAGTAACGATTAGTCGATTATTAATGAGATAGAATTCTTAGAATAGATTTCCTCACAGTATTAAGTTTATTAAAAAAATAACTACTTTACTAAAACAAAAGATGAACTCTGGAAAATAATGATTTTCAACAATATTATGCGTTCGTTTTCAAAAGCAAATAGAAAAAAAATGATTGTGAAACTTGTGCTGCTATTCTTCAGTGAACTGGTAACTGGTATGTCTACTTTGAAGAAGTATTTAAGAGGTAAATGTTTCTTAGAAACATTCAACTCGAGAAATCAATCATCTTTAAATGCACCCTCTCTAGCTGTGAAACTTCATTATCACTCTAAAATACTTAAGAGTAATCTGAAGGATTAGCGCAATATTTCGATTGAGAGAGTAAAACATTTATTCAAGCCACAACTTACATACAAAAAACCACTTCCAAAAATAATGCAATGCATGTTTTGGATTCCACTGCTAACCATAGTGTATATATGAGACTGTTCGAAAATATGGGTTGGAGTACTCACTAAATTTTATCAATCAATTTCATCACTATACACCAAAAATATCCATTTTTGATGTTAGCTATCACCAGTCATCCTAGTGAAGTGAAATGCTTACAATTTTCGAGTGGAAATGCAATATTTAGTTACGAATATTGTCTAGATTATTTATACTACTGATAAGTAGTTTAAAATTCTCCTAAAATATTCGGCTTCATAACATCAGCAGAAACATTTCTATGAAATCAACCAATGGACACTGAATTATAAATGAATTTCTAATGATTAATGCTACATGGGCAGTGACTGTTTGTTGCATACAATAACTTATGGCCAGAATTTGTCAGTTCAGTATCACTTTGTTTCTCTGCACGTCCAGATCTCCACTGGAGATCAAACACAGGACGTTCGTGTCTAAAGGCTAGCTCTTAACCTTCAGGCCACCAAATCTGACATCCAATGGTTTACATGTCCGACTCCAATCAGTATGAGATATTAAGGGACAACTATTTATTGTTACTGATGACATTAGTTTCATAATCAGCATTTATTTACGATTTTCATGATGAGCTAAAGTGGCGTTCATATGAATTTCGTTCGGATTTCAATAGTAGCAGGAAACATTTGTTCTGAATAAATTACGAATAAATTTCAAGTCATAATGAACAGCTACATGATCATAATTAATCAAAATTCTATACACCCTAGGAAATTTGATTTGAAGCATTCGAATTTTGCGCTGAACACATTGGTGCTTGATTACTGGATTATAACCAGGTGATCTGTGCTATTATAGTTTAGTTATTACATAATGTAGTATGAGGCTGTAAGCAAATGTTCGTTGTTTTAAAATAATATCACCTACTGAAACTTGATATTAAACGTTTCACTTTTCAATGGTAATAATTACCAGAATAAATATTTTCAGTCAAAGTGATAAAATTGGCTTTATTCTTTCGTAAATACAAACATTTAATCGAGCGTACCGTTGTACGTGTGGTAGCACGTAGACGACCGATTCCGGTTGTGTTAGATGATGCATTGTTAGTTGGTAAACGTGAGTGTTTTTCACGACAAAACTTGATATGACGTTCAGCAGCTTTCTCGTTGAATCTTCTTAGACAGTATTCACATTGAATTAGATCTATAAATATAATTATTTAAAAAAATAACAAAGAATATTTACAAATAACGTTTTCAAAAAGTACAATTCTCGCGAGAACCAACTACATCTTGAGAATGATATCTCTTATAATATTCAAACAAAGCAGCCATTTTGCATAAATGAATATAATCAAAATTGAAAGGTAGAATATTAGTTTTTTTATACGCTGCTCCAAATATTCCAACATGATGTCCATAATTTTACTGTTCATCATAAACCTTGCAGGATACTGAAGATATTGGTAGCTCACAAAAATGTTTATATAAGCTACAAAAAGTAATTATTGCAGAGCAACGTAATTTTATCTGTCCATGATAAAATATCATTTTTAAAATGAACAAATTTTAACAAACTTTACAGAAAACAATAATCATGAATTCGAAGTTAATAAAAAGTAGTGTTACATTTGTAATATCCCAAGGAGAAAATAAATTTCCTGACGTTTCATAAATCAGTGTGAGCTACTTCTTAAGAGTATAAAGAAACAAACAATCTAAATCATCACAAATTCAAAAAGTATAAAAGAAAATAGCAGGATTACTTAATATAATTAAGTGTCACGTTAGTCCGGATAAGGCGATTTTTGTGAGACATGTTTGCTTATTTGCACGCAGGTTAATGTGTATGAAGAGTGTGATATTTGTGACTTAAGAAGGTAGAGTTGAATTTGTATATGTGATAGTGGTTTGAGATGTGAATAAAATTAGATATCGTAACTTGAATTAATGGTTCAAGTTAAATGGATGGTAAGATCTTTTCTACTGAAGGCAGTAGGGTTTAGCAATATATGGAAAGTTTCAGATGGTCGCCCTTTTTCGTATTTGGAAAAGCCTTGTTGAATTATTTTGGCATTTTCAATATCAATCTGATGATCATAGAAAATAACATGCACTGCTACTCTCGATTGAATTTTCAATTTACGAAGTTTTCAAATGGATGTGCTCAATTAAACTCAATATAACGATTGGAGTTGCTTTACAATAGATTGTTAGATATTTAGTATTACCTAGGTATCTTTAAAATATTTAATTCCATTTACCTAAAATCGAGGGACACGGGTGATTCCTTTCCACACCGTTTGTTTGTTTTTATGATGTCTCATTGAAGGTCAATGAGGTTGAATTTAAGCATAATGTTGAGGATTTTATATACTTAACTACTTCTTACAGGACATCTTACTCACTTACTTATTTACCTATACCTGTTACTCTCGCGGTGGAGTACAGACAGTTCACCGGCATTTACCACCCAACTTTGTCCTGAGCAATCCTTCATAGTTGTTATTCATTTTTTTTATGTCTTTTTCCAATCTCCTATGGAATGTGTTCTTTGGTATTTCTCTTTCACTTTCAGGACTCCAAGTTGGCGCTTGCCTCGTCATGCAGTCTGGTAATTTTCACAATGTATGTCCTATCCCCTTCCAACTTCTTTTTCTCTTTTCTTCAAATGGAAATTGTTTTGCTATCTCCCACAGTAGGTTGTTGCCGATGGCATCCGGTCAACGGACACTGAGTATCTTATGTGGACAATTGTTTACAAATTTTTGTACCTTTTAGATGATGGTTGTAGTAGTTGTGCAAGTTTCAGCTCCATAAAGTAGAACTACCTTGACGTCCGCATTGAACATTATGACTTTGATGTTGGCTTGCACACAGTTGTTTTGAGTTCGGTGTGCTTTTCAACTAAAGGAATGTGGTTCTTACTTTGCTAATCTGTGCCTTTATTTCTGCATCAGATTCTCCTTGTTTATCGATGATGCTGATCAGGTACATAACACTTTCCACCTGTTCCAGAGTTTCTTCATCACGTGTGATTAGATTGGTGCTCGTTGTGTTGTATTTGAGGATCTTGCTTTTACCCTTGTATATGTTGAAGCCTATTAATGCAGAGCCCGCTGCTACACTGGCTGCCTTTACCTCCATTTGTTCGTGCGTATGGGACAGAAGGGCTAGGTCATATGCGAAGTTCAAGTCATCTAGTTGCATCCAATCTGTTAATTGTATTTCGTGCTTTCCCTCAGATGTACAAGTCTTCATAATCGAGTCAACCACCAGAAAAATGAAAAAGGGAGAGGGTGAGCAGCCTTGTCTGATATTGGTCTTCACATGCACCCGTCAGCTATCCTCCGTGTGCCACTTTAAAGTGTAGATGTATGAATTCCGGATGATGTCAACGATCCCCTCGGCTACTCATTCCACAGTGTTGAAAAAGGTTCTATAAGATTCTTCTACACACTGTCAGACGCTTTCAAATAATCAAGAAAGTGGATGTATAGTGATGAGTTCCATTCTATGAATTGTTCAACAATGGTGCGTAGTGTCGCGATTCGGTCGGTATACGATCTATCCTTACAGAATCATGCCTGTTAATCTTAAAGTTCGGCGTCTACTGAATCTTTCATTCAATTCAGCATCACTCCACTGAAAACTTTCCCTGGTATCAATAGCAGGGTGATACCTCTGTAGTTCTTACACTTACTGAGATCTTTGTTTGGTATTTTGAAGAAGTATCTTTCTTTTCAGTCTGTCGGCACCAGTCCAACCTCACAAATCCTTCTAAATGGAACACGGAGCATCTTTTCAGTTGATGAGAAATCAGCTGGGGAAAGATAAGATTACTGTCTCACACAAAATTACAGTTCTTTGATCAAATATGAAAACCATACATTAAATACTTTACTTGCACATCTTCCGTCAATTGTCTCTTACAAACTTCTGTTTACATTCATGATCTCCTTAATTCGATCTTCTTAACTTTCTGATGCCAAGCATTCCACTTCTGATTGGTTTTACATATTATATCTGTTGACATAAGTGCAATATACCACACTATGTCTGACTTCAATGCTTTAGCCGGTGTGTAAGTAAGTAAATTAGTAAATCACTGTTATGACTGTGGTGGTCGGTATTCAATATAATCAATAAGCTTCGTATAAGTTCGTCTTGATAACCGTTATTAGATGACGCCTCAACGGTTTATTAACCAAAAGGCGAATACAAAGTGTTGATTACGTTTATTATGGGACCACACACAGATATCCAAAATTACAGGTGCGTTAAGCAAGCGAGTACAGATAAGCAAGAGAGAGAGAGAGAGCAATGAACATGAATAACATGGACATATATACGCATAGTGAAATGAATGAATCATCGAATCAATTAAGCGGCTAATAGTAAGGCTAGCGGCGTGAATAAATGCGTAGGCAGTAAGCGATGCTCAATCATACATGTTCATACGTTCGCAACAATAATAAAGATACAATGATATAGATAATTTGTTGTTGTACGGATAACTCAGTTCGTTAATAAGTTAACAAAATGACAATAGAATTAAATGTGAACAAACTCAATTGCACTTGAGTTGCTATACGATCTTGATTCATCTGCTCACTAATCTTTGCTAAATACACGGGGAGAGATGCCTCGATGGCGGGATTGATGTGATAGGTTACGTAGTACAACGTTGGCACTTAATGCGTGAGTTCAGTCTGCAAAATAACGGCCTTTAGAGAAGAAAGAAGAGAAAATTACTCTACTACTGACCTATGATCTGATTGGTTGGTAAGTCAAGAGAGATGATTTAGCTGGGACTGTATATCTGATTTATGCCTGATTCAAGTCAAAAGAAATACAAAAGTTCATGATTTATAAAATAAAAAAGATACAAAACTAAACGTTAGCATGATACAGATTTCTAATTAAGCTAGACAATGTCCCAGAAATAGCGTTCGTTGTTTGCTACTTCATCTTGATTAATTCCTTCACATAAATTGTTAAAAATGTCTAGGTATCTATCAATTGGAATAGTGGTTAGCCTATTCGAAAAAGAGACTATTATTATCATTTGTGTAAGATGATAGTCACGTTATATTGAGAAATGATTGAAGTTGTCAATAAGGAGTTGTGGATCCCAAAATAGCGCTTTTAGGATATCATTTCTTGGTGGAAACATGTTCCCTAAACTAGGTATTTTAATCGTGTTTCCATTTTTTATATGCAATGTCATTAACGTGCATTTTAGACAGAACTCAACTATAATAATTCTTTTGAGCTATGGATCTTCTCTACCAACACAATATCGTATTCGATGGAAAACCTGAAGATTACGGACCCAGCATACTACTTCCTCATCAATCTATAAACAAATAAGGGACTTATTACACGTTAAGACAGGACGTCAAGCAAGTGTGGATTAAATGGAAAATGATAAATAATGGTCAAAATAATAATCAATGTCAAACTCAATATAACAATATATAAATATTGAATGAAACCATTCAACCTATAGAGTAATATTAACCTAACTGTTTTAGTATGCTATTATTATGGACGATCATCCAATATAATTTAGGCCCAACTGTACATAAATATATCTCATTATTATCATTACAATCGGTATAGATACCTAATAAAAACTTAAAAAAAATTAACATAAAATTCAACATCAATTTTTACTACTGATTAATAAAAAAGCAGCTATTTGCTTTTGTCAAGAAACCAATAGTTTCATCCCCTAAATAACACAAAACAATTCATCAATTGCTACTATGACTGCAAAATACAAACAATGTATTAAGGAAAAATAACTATGGGTTTGACTTCTATTATTATCACTATATACTACCAAAGTGTATGGGAAAGAGATCTGATCGACTTAAATTCAACTGACTTACCGTTTTTACATAGACCTTATCCATTTAAATCGATTGAAGAAAACAAAAGAAATTGGCAAACAACCAATCACAAATCCGTAAAGGAGAAGATTAAGAAAGAATAAAAATACGAAAAGTTAATTCAAGAGATTACCTTTAAAAAAGCCCATTTCCCATAATCAACCTTCAAAGTTCATAAATAGTTAACAGGAAGACATGAAAGTATAAATTGGTTGTACGACTAACTATGATTAGAAATTCTGACCTCAAAAGTTATTAATAATTTATAATTTTAGACTGTACTTCATTTAAACATAAAATAGATAGACAATTTCAGTTTTATTATAAGTCAACTTTTAATTCCATCTGGTTAATCACCAATTTTTATCACTTAGTTGATTGAGTTTATTTAGAAATAATAGTTAAACATATATACTGATTGAATTTCAGTGATTATAACTATGAATTACGATACACTAGAAAGAAAAAGAACACGAAGACTGAAAATGCGTTATTTGACAAATGATATAAAACAATAAGTAGAATTGATTGTCTACTCAAACAATTATAAATTTGTTCTTTTGTCATAACATATTATTCTCATAAAAATCTCAATGTAACCATAGAACAGTGAAAAACAGATTAACTTTTTGTTTAAAATTATTATTAATAAAGATTTCTTAACATGTATTTTTGAACAGTATACAAAAATTTTGATTGTATTAAGGCTTTTACTAAAACTAGAGACTCATGATCTCAACTATTGAAATTACTACAATCTCCACAAAACCCCTTCTGATACTAATCAACATATGCTCACTAGTGACTGGCTTCAAGATGTATATCCTGGAGTTCTAGTGAGAAGCAGCGACCGGTGGAGTTCAAATAGGTCTGTTGTGAGATAGTAACTCATTGATACAATGGTGCATGTGTTGCTCAATTTCGTAGATTAGTTGAAATGGGACATTAACACTGTTGGATGCCGGCTCATTGGTCTAGTGGTTAAGTACTTGCGCGCGAGATTAGTAGGTCCTGGGTTCTAACCCCAGGAGGCGGGGTCGTGGATGCAAACTGCTAAGGAGTCCCACAATAGGACGAAACGGCTATCCAGTGCTTTCAGGTTTTCTATGGTGGTCTAGCTTCAATTGACTCATGATCCCAATTATTAAAACTACTGCAATCTCCACAAAACTCCCTCTGATACTAATCTATTTTTTCGATTGAAAAGTATGTCTAAAACTCCTATAATCAAAGAATTAATGACTTTTAGTTTATACACTAAATGGCCAGTTAGTTAGAAAATTAACTAACTGTCCTAAATTAACAATATTTTCGAATGTTTTATACAAAAGCAATTGACTATATAACATATCTTTTTTATTAAGTTTAAGGTATTTATTTGTGGTTAACTAAACGTTAGGGTCCATGCACATCAAAAATGCAGCAGGAATCTGAAAAATCACTATTTTCTAGAGGATTTTAAACTGGAAATGAATGGTTTTCAGGTAGTTTTATTTTGGGTATGTTATAAACTCAGTTTGTTTCTAATTTTAATGGATGGATGATTACGTTAAATTGTTGACCTGTCTTGTATCTTGTTAAATCAATGTACTGATAAGTAATTTTGTGAATAGTCCGGATGAACTAATCACAATGTTTAATCAGTCACAAAATAAGTCAATAAGACCTTGAGACAAACTTCAGGGCAATTACAGGTATTATAAGTTAGTATAGTATTTAGTTAGTTTCTGGGCACTGTTTTTGTCTGTTCGGTGTTGACGATAAAAAATAAGGTTTTGAATCTGATTGTATTTGTTGTAAACGTCTTAGAAGTTATTGTGACTTATGACCGGTTAATATATCACGTGACTTATGACCGGTTAATATATCACGTGACTGATTCACCAATAAGCAAGTGACTTATACTATCTTAACACTGTGCCACAACAACTGGTATGATCAGCCTAGCGCTGCCTGTTGAAACCAGAACGCCAATATCAACTATTATTATAGGAATCATATATTTCAAACATAATTAGTTTATTACAAGCAAACCAGACCACATCATACCATAAATAAAAAATAATAATTGTACATTATCAAGCCAAAAAGTGGCTATGATTATGAGAGACTGTAATTAATGAACTAGGTATAACCTAAGAATAGTAAATCGTATAATAATAGTCTTTAGGTCATGATCTAGTTACTCAATAGTTATACTATGAGGATATATGTATAATATTGGTCCATTAATAGCTCACAGAATTTACCCATAATGTAATCGCCACTAGGATATAACAGAAGTCATGACAGTGCATCGGCATACGGAACATTGTGAGGTCTAGAATGAAAGCATACTACTTCAAAATATCACATAGTCATATGACAAAAGTAGCGGACTTAGAAATAAAGAAGAGTGACAAAATAATATAAAATATAAAATTAGTAGAAATGGAAATTACATAGATAAAATTTAAAACATTTAATAATTGGATGTATATAGTGGATGTACGCAGATCAACATAACCGATTATATGTCAATACGATATGGAATCTTGGATATCTAATTCCCGATATATCAAGTACATAAACCAAGAAAAACAGAAATATGAGCTTCAAACCAACCACAAAATTGTTTATATTGGGAGTAGTGATGCTGCTCACTGATACTACGTCAGAAAATAGGAAAATAAAATTGTCTTTCATTGTTGATCACCCTCACTAAAAAAATACCTTCAGTAGTGTTCTCAAGGTATTATATCCACATGTATTAGAAATGCTTGACAATAGTCAAAATATATACGCTAAATAGAAATACTACTACTTCTAACCTGGATCAATAGCTGGCGGTGGAGGAGGTGGCAAAGGTTTACCAGTCTGTTTTGCAACTGTATACTCTTTTGCAGCCCTAATTGCACTGATAAATTCTTCATGCTTTTTTCTCCACTGATGTTTGCGTGCTTCAACTTGAGCTATTTTTCGTGCAGTTTCAACTGATTTAATCCCAGATGCTCCTCCTAATATGTTTTGATTCTTTTCCTCTATACCTTGTAATCGTTGTTTAGTGCTATCAAAAGGTTTTCTCTTCTTTGTAGAATTCTTAATGCATACCACTTTATGTCGGTTCTGTATGTATTAGAAAAGGAACATAATTGATGTGATGAAAAATGTACGTTGAAACAATTAAACGAAATGTATCACAAAGAAATTTTGTAAACATAAACTCAGTGATTGTTAAAGCCAAATTTTTAGTTTTAAACAAGAAATAAATTGAAATTCTGATTGCCATTGAATGAATGACAACTCTTCTGTTGATAAACTATACTGCTCAAACGGAAGTTGAAATAGCTACGGTAAAAACGCTATTAAGTCTTAAAATAGGAAACTAACTACACGAAGTTTTGTTGAAATTCAAAGATAAATTTAAGTACATTCTTGAAGTTTCAAAATGAATCACAAGATTATAACTTATTAAACTCAATATCAACTTGAAAGCTTCAAAAACTAAGAGTATAATAGTCCGTTTTGACATCGTTCAGCAACATGAATGATCATCAAATTGTTAGGAAAGCTTTTATTAGCTATTTATGATAATTATGGTCGAAAAAAGCAATAGTCTACAACTTAGAATATGGCTGTAATTTGTGAGGCTTGTTGGATTTGCTTTATTATTATATCAACATGAATCGAGTGGGAGTAGGATTTGAACTTTACTCCATTTTAATAAATGTCATTCATTTATATTACAATACTACATAAACGAAGCACATAGTACTGAACAAACTACTTGGCTAATTTTTTTAAACAATCCTGGAAAAAGATAATCAGCAAATCCTGGTGAGCACATATGAAGAAGAGTAACACACATATACGATATTTTTAAATATCCAATAGTTTTCTAATTAGTATCAGATTATGATGGTCAGGAACGTTTAGTTCATCAATAAAATAACATATACGGTAAACGTCCACATGTCAACTGACTGTAATTACAATACCGATTTAGTGAAATAAAACATTCAAACAAAATGTTAACTTATTTATTAAGAAGAAAAGTTTCACTCCTGTAAGTGTTTACAGACTGCCACTCATTGTAGTTACTGACTGAGACTTACGAGAATGTTACAAGAGATTATCGCTTTTACTAGGTTCCGGACATACACAGCTGAATTTTCTCACTTGAAGGATCCCAGGAATAGTGGAGAGGAAACACCTACCGCAAACGCTAACAGTCACATCAATACCCCTACCTTGAAAAGTTTCGAAAAAATCTATTGAGAGTAATACAATGCAAACAAAATATACCCATTGAGACATAAAATAAAAAAACTGGTTCAGCGAAGAGTATTTAGCATTAAAAGTGGAATATAGAACTAAAAATACTTAAATATGCTGGACCAATTCATTTAAGCCAGACATTTTAAAATAAGTCTTTTCATGCATTTAGATTATGACGAAAGGTTGATCTCAAAAACATCTAGTTCATTTTAAATGCTGTCTGAGTTTAATAAACACGTGTTGCCATAACAACTATTAGTAGATGATAACTAAAGTCGAATTTCCATGGTGATATTATGCTTTGATAATTTTATAGTTGTAGAGTTCGTGGGATCCGTAGTAAATTCTTTGTCGCAAACACTGAGCTCCCACAGCAAATTAGGGTTATCAAATATTTACAAGCATAGTGTTAAAGCTATCATTAAAACACAAAAATATGTTACTCCAAATATCTGAGAAATTTCTTGCTGTAATTCTGCTTATCTAACACCTTTGTCTTATTAGCCACTCGATTTTTAATGTTTTAACTGAAAAACCATCTGTATGAATACATATCACCAAACAATTGTGTCAACCAGCAGGAAATAAAGTGAGGTTCGCTAGTCTTTAGGCAGTGAATGTAAAGGGAGGATATAGTGAAAACAGCTTTTAGGGAACTAGAAATGTTTACTTCCCATAATAGAAAAATATGTTATAAAGACTAGAAAGTAGGAGGCAGTATATCTTGACACGTGAAGCTGTTTAATTGCTATTATTTAAGCTTGATTATTATTACCGTGAAAATATATCCAAAACTCTCAGAATTCATAACTTTACAGGGATATATCTCGCGATGTTTCTCACATCTGAGTGATTTTTAACCCAGCAATCGTAAAGCCAACACGGTAGGATTTGAATACTACCCAACCAAGAAAATGCATTATGTTTTCTGGGTTTAAAATGGATGGTATAACTGGTGACACTTACAAGTAAATAGGAGTTATAGGCTTTAATCATCAAATTAACGAAGATATTCCTTATCAGATAAAGTTTTAGGCTCCAACAAATAATCGTTACATTTGTAACTCGCTTCACCCACTTTATTTTGGTCAACTGAATAGTACCACTAATCCTCAGAAGATTACATAAATCTTCACTTGACAAATGGGTACCTGAACAGGAAAGGTCGTTGGATATTGCGTTCATCAGAATCTCACCTACGTTAAGCTAGTTAAAATAAACGAGCTGTCCAGTCAGTAATAGGGGAACTTAAAACTCAGCTATAGCCTCAACATAATCCTGTTGTATATTTTGTTGGTTAGACAGAACATTTTAATTAGTTTTCGAAATTATTTTTAATGATTTAAGCAATTATTAAGCGAATTACTTTCAAGCTTCGTCCATTTTATAAGATAATTGTATTCTTACTTTTGGTACCAAAGGCTATAAAGAACTAATTTCTCAAAACCGTAAAGAACCAAGCCAATATGTCTTACATCCCGTCAAACTATTTGGGAATGATTTATATGCTTGTGGTTTACTTCAAACATCTTTTGTGATTGACATGTCATCAGAGATTCTGATTTAAAATAGCAGTTCGACTCAAATGTTATTTATTTTGCCCTTCTGTCTGGAAAATATATGTCCTAAGAATTATTTTAAAAAACAATATAAGCTTTTTCTTATTCTTAAGTGCAAAATATGACCTTTTTAATAACACACATCACGTCAAGCAAAATCTATATGAGATATTCCAGGAATCAGCAGTCGTCATAATTCTCCACGTAAAGGTACTTTATGTCTAATGCTTACTCCTCTTTTCTAATAACTGTTTCAGCAAGCCGTCAGATAATAGTTGACTTCATAAAACTATATCACAATTCTTTATCCATTTTTGGTGGTGTAATATTCTGTGCTTTACATTTCCGAATTGGTGACCTTTCTAAAAACCCATTTGTCACTAACAAAACCAAGGTGAAATTATTGATATCTTGGACTTCCATTTCTTAAGTAACGCACAAAGCTTGCATAAACATTTATAATGAAACCATGAAAACAAGTAAAATGACGTTTGATATTTTTTCTTAACCCCTAATTATGTTTAGTTTGGCCTATCAAGAATTCGACAGTGGTTTGTAGGGATGCGCAACATGTATAAAATGTCAAAAAAGTAAATCAAATACAATGTAGTCATAAATCTGGTTCCTAGTAGTTTGTGAATCACTGACAATTCAAAACTATTTTTCATTTGAAGATGATCAGAATTCTACCTGTTTCTAAGTAAGCGCTTGCAAAATTACTTTTCGAAGCTCTTGATTAATGAAGTGTAGAATAGCATATCACATAGTCTTTTGATAGTTTTATAGCTTGAGTCCTACTGTCTCCGCATGTGTATATATTAATCTTAAATCAGTCTTACCAGTAAACACGGCTAGTTAGTTATTGAAAATGGAGTCTAGAACGTTTTGCCTGAAAAATGTAGCACGTAGTCATTATATTCAAGCATAAAAACGAGAAACTAATCCATTTGCTGCACATATTTCTGAACGGATTCGGTGAAGAGGTAAGAAACACAAGTTAAATAACGTTGCCAAGTCTTGTAGAAAGTCAAGATTGACTGATATTGGGGCAACATGGTTTTTGTGTTAATCACTCCTGTTTAAGAAATCTCATTGCCTAAGAAGGTTCGATGGGTATTTTAGGAGTTGACCACATAGTTTGAAACTGAAGTTACTTACTTGCTCAAAACTGTCTAGAATTATTTTTAAGTTTGGGTGTGTAGTTGTAACTTTAGTAATTGGTCTGTCCGAATTTATGCGTTACCACTCGTTTATTTGAGTAAACACGTCAACTCAAAAGTACTTAAACGTCTTTTGAATAAGACATACATAGCTGTAGACCTGTAGGATCTGAATCACATCCATGAAAAGTACAGATAAACAATACTTCTAGTATCCGACTTTTTCTACATATTATATTGACGTGATAAGTTGCAAGAATATGTACAAACTTAGTAAAGATACGCATTTCGTCGTTCACTTTTCATTACTATCACCTTGAGCAAACAAACTGGATCACTTAAAGTGCGTATATAATCCCAATCATTTAAATGATTGAGATTGTGCACAATCACAAACTTCGGAAAATGTTATAATTTGGTTTAGAGATTTCAACAAAAATGCTATAATCGTGAAATTGCCAATTAAATCACGCTTACAATTATATCTTCCCGAAAATGTCGGCCACAAGTAGCACACTCAATAAGTGTTATGGACTCTACATCAGAACCAACTACAGTAAATAAGATCGATCGTATCGACTTGTCTTACCATCCATTCTCTGCAGCGTTTAGCCTTTGGCAGGTTTGTGTCTAGCTTGAAGTTACCTTGTGTGTTGGGGGATTGTTAAGGTCAGTAAGTGAGATTATCTGTAAGAGAAAAAGTGAGCCGATGATTGCGTAAGAACATAGAATGAACTTACATTTAATAACTAAAGCAACCAAAAACAATTATAAGTAACACAAGCTTGAAGTTAAGACAGTCTGAAATTGAAAATAAGAAACGGACAGTGTAATGCTCTAGATTTCTTTCATCCCAGCAATTTAAGTCAACATTGGTTTCTACTGCGAAACTCCAAGTGATGTATTCAAACAAATAGCCGCTATCTAAAGATGTGTTTAAGAATTATTTTTGAGTGATAACATGTCAACACATCGCGTTTTGGGCTAATGGAACTGATTACGGCATTTATGAACGGGATCGAGGCAGTATTTACACGACGAGCTTCGGTGACAGGTTTCAAATGGTTCTGGACGTAATAGAAGAAGCTTTCGTTTAATGGGTTCCTGTATCTAGTGGCAGTAGACCGCCGGCGCACCCAGATAAGGACCTGGGTATATTTATTAGCAAAAGAGAAAAAAGCTATCAAATCATAGTGAGATATTGTCCTTAGTCAGTTTAGGAAGGACAGGAGGCCTGATGGCCTGTGTTAGTCCTGGCAATGGTGGTCCCCCAGTTGATCCAACTTTCTTTTGAAAGAATCGACGGATGGAGCCTCAACCACCTGCTGAGATAATGAGTTCCACTCGTTGATGATTCGATGGGAAATTCGGTAGTCAGTTGACAAGTAATTTGTTCTGGGCTTGTGAACATTTTTGGAGTGTCCTCGTAAATTCTCTGTTTTGGAAGACAAGAAAAATGAGGGCATATAAGATGCAACATTGAAAACTGTAATCAAGTCGCCTCTAGTTCTGAGATATGACAACGGGAAAAGGTTCAGCTTGGCCAGTCGAGCTTCATACGGTAGCTTCGCTATTCCAGGAATCAGCTTATTTGTTGTTCTCTGAACCTTTTCCAGAAGCTCACTGTCTTTTTTTAGGCAGGGGCTGGCCGCTTGTATGCAGTGCTCAAGTTTAGGACGTACAAACACTGCACACAAAGTTAAAAACGTCTTAGCGTCAACATGACTTAAAGCCCTACGTATTGACCATAAGGTTCTAAAACCTTTGGCGGCTATTGCACGGCAGTGTACAGTAGTCGTTAAGTCTTCGCTAACGATGACTCCTAAGGCATTATATGTCTGGATGACAGGTAGCTCAGTGTTCAGGGTTCGCAACGAAGTTAGATAATTCCTTCAGTAGCCTAGGATGTAATTCATCGGGCCCCGTGGATTTACCTATGTCGAGCTTATTTAGTTGACCAAAGACATCGATTTCTTTAATGGTCACACTATCCAGTGTGTGTGGGGGGATCTATATGCACTAACGGGAAGGGTGCTTCTATGGTATATACATTGCTAAAGTAGTTCGAGAACACTTTAGCCCTACCAAAGTCGTCCTCCACTAATGATGCGGCAGTGCTGTCTCCCCATAGAGCAGGAATATTTCCTCTTCTCTTTGTCCTTTGGTTTATATAGGAATACAAGCGTTTAGGACATTCTATGGATTCCTTAACAACCTTTTCTTCGTACAACTTTCTAGACTTACGGAGGGTCGAGACACAGGCATTCCGGACTTTTCTATACTGGGATTTAGTTTCATCAGTCCCCAGTAACCTAAATTTATCCCACATTTTTCTTCCCTTACGGAGAAGGATGCGGACCTCCATACTGAACCATGGTGGGGAGTTTCTCGATCCCCTTGGTATAGTCCAAGGGATGTAGGGTGTGGTAACTTTTAAGTATGAATTTCGAAATGCGTCCCAGGCCATTTCAACTGAGGACTCTGGGTCTATTGTCCAATCTACTAACGATGCTGAGTGCATGATATCTGGTATATTTGCTTTCCAGACGTTAGGTCTGGATTGGGCTGATGCGTGCTTGTGACTGACAGTTATATGGAAGTCAAAAATTAAAACTGCGTGATCACTTTTACCTAGAGGTGGCATATAATGAAGGTTCGTGACGTCATCCACATAGTGAGTGAGTATCAGATCTAGTAAGGATGATTAAGTGTCCGGGTCGTACCTAGTCGCTTCTTTCACATGTTGCACTAGGTCACATGTGATAACCACATCAACTAGTTCCTGCTCGAAGGAATTATTTGACGGTTCATTTCGCAAATTTTCTCAGTCTACCATAGGTGCAATAAAGTTCCCTAGGATTAGACATCGATCACTTTGTGACCAAGTATTGGGACTGCTTAGCAAGGCCTTATTTACCTCACAGCTTGGACTGCGATTGACTAAACCAATCAGCAGTTCTTGTACATTGCATTTCAAGCGGTAACTAACTAATTCACACGTCCCACTCTCATGCGATACACTGTCGATAATGGCAAATGGAATAGCATTCCTAATGAATAGAGGTACTCCCCCTCCTTTACGCTTTTGTATTCTGTCGGCCCTTACTAACGTAAAGCCCTCGAAATCAAGTTCCATACTATCTATAACCTGTGTTAGCCAGGTTTCTGTAACTGAGATTTTGTCTGACTTTGCAGAGTTAATCTGTACACCTAGTTCCCATCGCTTCGGGCATTAGTGTAACAGATCCGAAGCCTATTTAAGTGGCTTCGTGATTCACTCAGAGTGGCTTCGGCATCATTCGCTGTCGAAACCTTACAACCCGAAAATTGTAAATTTTCAGGTCCTTTTCGCCAGCGTCTAACCTAAGTTGTAGTTCCTTTTCGGCTTCTCGTTTTTTTACACGGTCTGCCAATGATAAGTCCTTACGGATAAAAATTCCTGAATCCTTTAATTTATGTCCATTCTGTAAAATTAAGTCGCGTCCATTCGAAGATTTGAATACTACTTTAAGCAGTCTGGATTGATTTGGTTTCAAGTTCGCTAGACTCCCTAGTCTGTACACCTTTATCAAGGTGACCCCGGTAATATTTTGAGGCATGAGTTGATTAAGCAGCTGTTTAATCAGCACAATGTTATGCTCAAAACGAGCTTTTGGTTCAGAACTCTCACCCTTCTTGATTCTATGAAAAATAACTGACCTGTCGCTGTGATCAGCTTCGATTTTTCGACTACTTTTACGGGGGCAGGATTCCCTCTTGTATTGTTATGTTGTTTCTTGCTTACAACCTGTACCCATTCGTCAACGGTGCTAGGAGAAGCAACAACAGTTGCGTCAAACCTACTGTTGGATTCCGGAGGGTTTTCGACGACCTGGGAGGTCAGGTTATGTTTCCCGCTAGAAACCGAACGAGCCTTGCAATTGCGGCTTCTAGGCGTTTCCTGTGGGATCCCATCTGGGAGACGGGGAACGGAAGAACCTTCTTTTCCTGAGTTGTTGTTTAAGACAGACCTCTTTGGAGACTGTTTTTCCTTCTTTGATCGGTGTGAGTCACCTATTTTCGAACTCACCTGAGTTTACTTCATATCAATTTGCGTGTCAACAGGGCGAGTGCTGTTTGATGTGTCCCGACTACGCTTGCTATAACACTTTTTCACAGCATCTAGCAGTGCGATGGCCTCGGTCAACAGGCTCTTTGCATCCGAACAGCACTGTTGAGAATATGTGGAGTTTTCGCTCAAAGGACTTCTGGGAAGTCGCCTGGATTAGCTCATCCGGTAGTGAGTGCAAAAATATGACCACGCTTAAGGAGTAGAATATGTTTCAAAGGTCCGCTACGCTGTGTTGTGTCTCAGGCTTCTGAGTGTTACCTTTTGGATTTGTGTTGGGACTAAGCTTAAGTAACTATTTAAGGGCATGTTTCGAAGTTTTTAGGATGCTGTAAATCATTAGGAGGTCACCTCTGAGACGTCTGTACATTGGTGGGTAAACTTTCAGTGATGGGAGGTGCTCTTCATAAGACTTCACTAGGACATTGCATAACCTGAAAGTGAAGTTAACCCTGACCTTAAAATATCAATTGTTTAAATATGAAGTAAGCAAATAAATTGGTGGTGAACTGATACCTAATGGTTTGACACATATGATTGACCCTATCAAAAGCTTTTGAGAAGTCGAGATTTATGAAGTCAACCTACTCTCAAGGACGGTTGTCCATCTGCATACCGTGGTCAGCATGTTTGTCATACAAGAGTGATCTTTCCCTAAACCATGATGTTAGGGTGAAAAGAAGTCTATGGATAACAAATAGTCTTGTATACCGTCTCTTATCAGGGACTCCATAATTTTCGAGGGTATGGAGAGAAGTGCTACCGGTCGGTAGCTCGAAGTTTCTCTGCTTGAACGTCGTTTGAGAATTGGTGTAATGTGATCCAGCTTCTAATATACTAGTAACGTGCCTCAACTTGGCGAATGTGAGAACATCACTCTAAGTGTTGTTGCCAAGATGGAAGCTGATTAAATCCGAATAGCAGGATGGACTATATCCGGTCCAGGATGCGTCTTTGTTTAGGATACACCAAATCGGAGCTCAGGTTCGCTTCCGAGAGTCCGGTTGAGTTGCAGATGAGGCTCTCACCAATATGGTTAGTATGGACCGGTTGGATTGTCTAAACTACTGTTCTTTCAGGAGATTGGCAGCGCTACCGTCGTCGTTGGTTGAGTCTTTAGGACTTACCAGTTGCGAAACTCCGGTTTTGGCTTGTTAAAAAAAAGCTGTATGACGGAATGAGCTTTTTTGATTGGAGACAAATTTATCGATAAGCTCTTTCGGATACTGAAGCCTGTCTTCTCTTATCGCCTTTGTGATTGGTTCTTTGCTCGTTTGGGTTGCCCGTATGCTCTGTTGTTACCGCTTCGTTTGTATTCCGCCCAGCAGTGCCTTTTACGGTTTAATAAGCGAAGAGTTTGGTTCTTTACTAATGTAGGTTGCTTGTAGCTTTTGAGGATCGTTTGGAGAACAGACTGCTTTGTAGCACATAATAATATGTTTAGTAAGAAATCCCAAGTTGCGGGCGAACTACCCAGTCCACGTATTA